TCTGTTTAATAAGGTTTGAGTTTAGAACTCTAAATGTTGAGTTAGAGACTTGAAGTAAACTAGTTTTTCAGAATTATAGCAAATTTTAAAGTACTTTGATGGAATGATTTGGGATCTGTACTTGTCAAAGCTACTCTAAGGGCAAACACTGTTAGTTGAATTATTCTAAGTTAACAAGGATTTGCATTCTTGGTTGTGTTTGAAACCTTATGTGCTGAGGTCTCCACCCTGACACAGCCTCCCTGTAACACCTGGTAGTTGAAACACACCTTATTTTACTTGCAAAACTGAGGAAACTCAGTGAGCTGCTCCTGGTATCTGTCTCCCAATACCTCTCTGTCTTATCTCATAGCCCGTTTTTTTTCACCTCAGAACAAGGGGAGGCTCTTGCCACACTGCGAGGCCAACTAGCTTCCTGTACTTACCCCACCCTTCTCTTCAGGACCCTGCTACAGAAACCACAGCTCGTTTCTGCTGCCTTCCACTTTAGTTTTCAGATATTCTCAGACAGAAGAAGAACTTGCTCAGTTACCTCTCTGCACGCGTGCACTCCGGTCATCAACCACCTGTCACTCTGCTCCCTTTCACATCTTGACATAAGCAGCTGCTGTTCGTGACAATCCCACAGCATCCGCTGCTGTTCACACTGTGATGAGCCACTTCCTACCACACGACTTTAAAGTCCGTAGCACGATCCTTGTCACTTCCCTGACACCCGTGGTCCTCGGACACTTGTCCACCGTTGGCCTTGTCTTGTGGACTGCTGTGAAGGGCTCCTTGCTGTTCTCTTTGAGTCTGGCTCTTTTCCACCTCATCATCCATCCACAGTCACCTTCCGAAAGCCCAGGCAGGACTGGGTTCCTGCCTCACCCTGAAGCCTCCATGTCTCTCCCGTGCTGCTGACCAAGCCCACTTCTCCAGTCAGTTACATCTCTCCCCGAAGGCCTTAGCCTCATCGTCGCTCTTCAGTTCCACTTCGACACCCTGCCAGCAAGCCAACCTCAGGTGTTTTCCATTCACTCTCTCGGACTTTTCAGCCTTTGTGCCTGAAATAGCTCACTTTACCCCAAGAGGGGCCAATCAGAATCTATGACAACTCCAAAGACCAACTCAATGCTCAAGCTGAACTACTCCAGGGCTTTTGTCAGCCCTTGGCCCACTTTCCTTCAGAGGCTGCAGGTTCTTTGAAGGAGGCAGGTGGGTGTGATGACCCAGAAAAATGAATGCAGAGTCAGATGGCTCAGCTTTCTTTGTTTGTTTGTTTGTTTTGAGACAGGGTCTCACTATGTAGTTCAGACTGACCTGGAACTCACTATATAGCCCAGGCTGGTCTTGAACTCACAGCGATCCTCCTGCCTCAGCCTCCTGAGTGCTGGGATTACAGGCGTGCGCCACCATGCCCTGCTAAATGGCTCAGCTTTGAATCTTCCTCTTAACTCTCTCTGTGGCCACAGACAGGCTGCTTACCATTGTTCCAAGGAAAGGCAAACACCAATATTTTCTCATAGAATGTGGCAAAAGTTACACAAGACAGCAAACAAGCACCTAGCACTCAAGTATGTTGATGGATTTTATGGCTTTCTTATTCTATCAGGTTCAAATTACTCAGTTTAGGTTGGAGCTGCCTGTGGTAACAAAATATGCCATTTCCCCCAGTTTTTGGACCATGTGTAGACTATAAATACAAACATCTGAAAATTTCATATTTCTCTAGGAAGCAGAAAAAGAAAACTGTGGCATTAATTATTCTTGCCTGAATGAGAGTGGGTAGGATAAAAAAAAGGAGAAAGAAAAATAAAAGGAGTAAGAAATGAAGGGACATTGGTAGGGTGACAGAACAGACAGAGACAGATAGTAATGCTTTTTTTTTATATGCAAGACATGGAATGTTATTCACCTGAAAATACAGATGCACTTCTACACACTATTTGTAAAGTCTAACTCCTTCAGAGTTCAAAGACTAGAATATGGGTCAACCTGCAAAGCAAGTAAGTGTTGCTCACCTGCTCCCCACTGCTGTCCCTGAGCTCTCCGAAATAACCTGCTCACACGGAGCAGTACATGAGCCTCTGGCAGCTGCTTGTCTGTTTTCTTACCATGGCTTGGCCCAGCGTTGTGAACTTTGGCTCAGAAGACCTTATTTCATAGTAAGCTGCCAGGGAGCCTCACAGCTTAGCACCGGGCATATCCTTTGCTGAGTAGGGCAGGCAGCCAGATTGGGGCCTGGCTTCTTCCAGAAAGGAGTTATCCTAAGTCACCAAAGTAAAAGGAAGTACAGAGGGAGGTTCTCTTCTGACCATACAAGTGAAGGTGGCTAAAATGTGTCACTTTCTAAGCCTCCCACAATGGAAACAGCCACTATAAATGTGAGGGAAATATCCTAAGTCCTAAGTTCTACACAATGTTACTGACCCTCTTCTTTTGGGGGATACTGAAGACCCCCCCCACAAACCTGCATTACTTTCCGTCGGCCAGAGCATTTGGCTTTCAACAGTTATCCTAAGAAATTCTAAGAACTTCAAGATGCATTAATCCTAGTGAACTGGACCTTTGTCATGCAGTCATTTCCAAGGTTTTGGCAATGCCACTAGCTTAATCGGTGGCAGGTTATTTTCCAGTTGTCAAATAATCTTTTCCTATTTAAGAGTCAGAAATAGAAACATTCACTCATAAAGGAACTAGATAATTTGGAACTTGAACAATATAAGTATTTATTTGAAAAAACATTTTCCATTTTAGTAAAATGGCAAATCAGCTATAGTAGCTTCTTACTGCTAATTCTAATTCGCTCTCACAGTCATTTTCACCCACCAAGATATTGCTACAGAAAACTATTTCACAATTTTTTAAGAAAAATATATACAGTCTGCCTAATAGAAAGTTAATTAAAACGATAAAGCAAGGCAATATAAAACTAAGATGAAACAAGTTGACATTCACAAACACAAATAAATAAATATGTACAAGAGACTATGCCAACAACAAAGAATATCCTCTTTACAAAGTAAGAACAAAAATGGGAATGATCTCAGGATTCGAGGTGAAAGCTTATCTAATAACACAATGCAGTTAAAATGGAGGGAGGAAAATAAAACCAGTCAACTACACCAGAAGGTGGCTATAAGCTGAATTCGGCTCCCAGGGTGAATTCCTGCCCACCTCCTCTCAAGAGTTGACTAAAGGTGAGAACTGCATACTTAGAACCAAGGGTGGAATGTGGCTAAGTCTTTTAAGTCCATCTCTAAATGTTTCTATTCAGCTTTTTCACTTTTTCTCACCTGGTTTTTGAAAATCTAATGTGCAGCCGACACTGCTATCGATTAAAAAAATATTTTCCCAGATCTGGATGCATCATGTGAATAGAAATCAAAAGTAAAATCATTTGGAAGCTTTATCTTGATACCTATCAACTAAATATGCACTTTGTGAAGAAATCTCACAGTAGAAAGATTATTAAAATCTATCATGAATATCTAAGGTTGGGAGAAGTATAGGAATATTCAGTGACTAAGATTAATTCTCATCTATCTGCAACCTTTGGCACAATAAGCAGCCTGTTAACATATTGCCTACAGAAAAGGATTTGGCTCTGCTGTAGTGAATCGTAGTGACCGCAAGATTTACTATCCTTTTCTCCCAAAGATCCGGTCCCCTGGGAAAGGAAGGACGAGCAAGGCTCGTCTCCCTGCTGCAGAATGGAGCAGGACTCACAGGCGGCCACCACACCATCTCCATCTCACCGTGCTTTCAAACCCGGCTGCTTTCAATATTGGAGATCAGCAAAAGACCAGAGGCCCTCTGAGTGGCCGCGGGGCCACCAAGCTGTTCTACACCTCAGACTGAGAGCCGAATGCATTCCGCCCAGGCAACAAGCTCACCAGGGCTCAGTTCTGGCCTCTGCCTTCAAGCTGACTGGCTCTGCTTAGCTTCCTTACTTTCCTCACTGCTTATGCCGCTGCTTCTGTAAACTTGACTCTTTTCAGGGAACCCAGGGCAAAGCAAACACTGGGTCCCATTTCTAAGGAACTAGAGAGGGCGCTATCATTTAAGAACAATTAAAATGCGCTTTCCCACACCTTCATAAGTAAGTACACACTGCCCAGGATAGTCTGAGAGTTAGATAAGCTGCCTAATATTATGCATAACTTGTTTACAGTAGCCTGGTCTATAAATACTATACTGTGTCTAGCAGACCTCTTCAGGCTCTTACACACTATAATTGGAAGACTCTGTACAACTTGTTTTCAGACTAACGGTTGTGGAAAAACACATTTATACATTATTTTGATGAACTGAGATACCACACGTATCACTTTGTACTCCTTAGAACAAGACTCTTATCCGGGGAAATAAGAGAACTACATTTGTGTGACTGGAAATGCCACGAAGTCATTAAGGCAAGGATAGGACCACAGAGTCCCAAAACACTGGGTCTCCCAAAACAGAAAGACTGTTGTACACAATATACTTAATGGAAATTCTCCTTCTTTCCATAAGCCTATGGGTTCAGTATACAGTAAAGAAGGAAAACTAGAGTTGTGACAGATTCACAGCGTCCACATTAATGGGATGTCAACACTAAAGCAGATTCGAATGTATGGGATTAAGTTATAAATATTGATGTTGCTTGAGCCTGTGTCTTAAACAGAATAAATAAAGTATTAGACATTTACATAGCTTCATATTACTAGGTCAGTATTTTGGGAAAGCTTTCTTTCTTAAGTATGCTGTGGTCCTGAGGGTTAAATATTTGATACAATAAGAAGAAAAACTTTCAGATTTTTGGATCAAATGGTCTTTTTGTTATCTGTGGTTGAAACTTCACTAAAAAAAGGAAGAAGAATTGTTGCTGTGTTCTTAGAAGGTAGCACTGGGGTGGACCTTGTGAGCAGCTAAGATATTTACAAATATCACCATGGTTCTTATTGTTGGGAAAGATAACAGCAAACGGTCACTTCTGGGCCTGCCTATGAGGTCTATGAACAAGAGTTTGTTCTTGGTTTTGCTCTTCCTTTGACCTCTAAATTAATGTCTGCTCCTCAGTTCTGATTAGCTCAGTTCAATGACATATTTTTCAAAATCATATCCTCTCTGGCTACTGAGTCACATTGCTCTCAGTACTGAAGTTTTGGTGACGAGGGAGCCTTCATCTAATAAACATACTGAAAAGAGAAATTCTGAATTTCATGAAAGCCTCCTTAACAAAATATATTCCTCATCTGTATGCAGTTACCTAGGAAATAGCACATTTACGTATGTTCCTCATAGTTTTCTCTGCTTGCAGATCTTCACATTTCCGTGACTGATTTTCTTTTTCTTAGACTGAAAACATTAAAACTTGGTGCTGTGGCTGAAGGTGTCTGACATGATAATATTTTTATAGAAGTTATCTGAATGAGTATTGCAATAACCCTTGACCTTATCAATAACCTGGTGCACGGGGATGATTGATGTTTGTTCTCCATCAGTGTGAGTCAGTTTTGACAAGGACTTTTCCATGGACGCGCTGTCTGCAAGAAATGATACAAAACGTGAGGCTGCAAGATGATCAGGTGACATTGCCCACAGGTCCCTACACACTGCTCTCCAGTGTGCACATTCGCGACATACACGAAGGAAATGAAGTCCTGGTTCTTAGAGTAACAGGCAGCATTAAAATTTCAAGTTCTGCATCATCAAAGTGCATCCATCATATTTACTGAATGGCAATTTGCCTTCTAATAATTTGCTGTGCTTTGTTGTGGGAAAACATTCTCGTAGATGGACAATGAATACAATAATTTTTTAAAAAATCAATTCAAAATATATGTGCCAAATGGCTCAAAACAAACAAGAGATTTGGCTAAAAAAACTAAAATGTGCTGAAATGTTTCTGAAAGGAAGGATGTCTAAGATATATTTTCCAAATAACGTACAGAGCGAAACATGGGACCATGAGTTTTGGGGTTCAAGGACACTCATCATACTATTCTACTTTTTGATATCTTTTCACAATAAAATTTTTTATACAATTTAAGGGATTTTTGTGAATAAAAGCGAATCAAGATAAACATAAAAGCCAGACTGAACATATCTTACCATGGTTTTTAGCTGGCAAAATTAATGAAATATTGTAAAAGGAGCATCTTTTATGAATTGTTAATTGTAGAAGTAAAAATTTTATCAGAGAGAAAATTTTTCTAAGCGAATTTTCAAAGAAAAATTTAGTAACTTTGCTCCAGTTTCAAAATATTACTGCTGAGAGTAATATCAGAGCAACTCATAGGAATAAAGGTCCACTTAATACATTTTCACCCTGAATTTTTCAGCATCACACATTTAAATAGTATTTCCCAAGACCAAAGATCTTTTGAAAATTAGCTCAAACAGTGCTCAAAACTCATATAAGCTCTATTCTTTATAAATACATGTGGTTATATTTATGTCTCCTATGAATAGCCAATAAATATCTACCCTCTCACTGCTAATATATTTTGGAGAAAAATGTACCCTCAAATTAACCAAATAATAGAGATTTCTATAGCCATGAAGGAGGAAATATGGTCAAGTATTCAATTTTTAACAGTCATATCATCTCTATGTGCTTGGAGAGGTAAAAGATCTCCATCCTGAAACACTGCTTTCAGGAATCCTAGTTCCACAACTGAAGTATTCACTTCAAGCCTGTTAAATTTTAAGTAAATTGGATTTAGTATATAACAGAACATAGAGAATCTATCAAAAATTGGTCAAAGTCATCATTACTACATCTGTTGTCCTTGGAAACTGTGCAAATTGCTGCAGTGGGCAGATCTTGAAAGAAGAGGAGGACTAAAATGGGAAATGGTTCTCTCGTGCAGCGCTAAAGGAAGGCAGAAGGGAGAAAAGCTGATTCGTGGAATGATGGGCAGAGGGAGGTGAAGTCGAACGACAGAAGCATGCCCAGTGCTGGTGAGAGACGCCCGGCAGAGTGGCATCTGCTCTCAGCAAGCTGATTGGTTCTGTGCTTTCTTCAGGTTCACAAACTCGCTAGCCATTGGTTTTCTGTTGATGAGTTTCTATTGATTTTTATCTCAATAATAAATAATTTGTGCTTCAAGTTTTTAGAAAACTACACGCCCTCTGTGAAATGTCAAAGATATATTCCCTCTGCTTCCTGGAAGACTTCCAGGGGCACGGACTTTTACGGACTGACCAGCTTCACTCCAAAGACATGACCCAACTGGGTGAGTCTTTATAGTTTTAATAAAGTGAAATTCTGAAAGAGAACTATTTCCAGTCTTCTGGTTAAATATTGCAGTATGAAAGATGAAGATTTTTTTGGTTTTTTTTTTGGGGGGGGTATAGGGGATCGAACTCGGGTCCTTGCGCTTGTGAGGCAGGTGGCAGAACCACTGAGCTAAATCCCCGGCCCTAAAGATGAAGATTTTGATCATATCTGGACATGTGAAAACCAGGGGCTAGAGAAATGAACTGCTATTTCTATTACTTGATATAGGCTGAAATTTCAAGCAAATAAAAATCCTCACAAAGCAGCTTGGCATTGACAATTTCTCTTTCATGACTTCTATGAATGTACCATGACTTACTTATCTAGCAATGCATAAGAGCGGTGAATAGGAAAAACAATTCATAGCTTTCTATAAACATTCTCCTCTCAAACACTGCTTTGTTTTCATTATTTTATGTGGTGTGTGACCCACTCACTCTGGAGCATGGTACATTTCCTAGAAGGAGCGCTTGCACACCCCATGCAGAGAAAAGCAGGCACAGCACATTGTCATTCGAGCCTTCAGAAATTTCAACTCGGTGCAGGAATGGCACTGTGCTTGCTGAAAAGTATCATAAAGCACAAGCCATTTTGCTGGTGCAGCAAGAACTTTAGCTTAATCCATGCAAATATTCCCTTATTACCTTGAAAAAATTCATGCATTCAAAAAAGTAATAAAAAATTACCTGAACGATCCACTTTTGTTGAAGAAATACTCTTAGGAGACATTATCTACACCATAAACATACGAATGTCTACATCAATTTGAAGAAGTGAACCAACTAGATATCTAGGAGGATAGCAGTGCTTTTTTGCATACTCCAAGCAATCCCTACTACGTAGTTGTCCCATTCAGAACTGGCTGGAGAGCCTAATTTATTATATCAATGATGTCACAAAGCTCACGCTAGCAGAAAAGAGCGCACTTAGCCATAATGGTTCTTTGCTTAGGACAAGAGAAAAAATATTAATGCATTCTTTTAAAGTATAACAAAAAAAACATAACATTTTGAAACACTAAAATTTGCCTTTGGTAACGCAGTTTTTGCATTTCCTCTTTTAACTTTATCAGGTTTCCCCAGGATTGTACAGATCTTTCTTTCCTTAATACTTTTAAAATATCCCATGTTCCAAGTGATCTAAATTTTTATTCTCTCTCTTCTTATTTATTTATTTATTTATTTATTTTAGTACTGGGAATTGAACACCAGCCCTTGGGCTTGTGAGGCAGGCACTGAAACCACTGAACTAAATCCCCAGCCCCCTCTCTCTTCTTTTGAAGGAGGCATTTCTTCAGGGTAGCTATTCTTGGCCATGCTAGCATGAAAAAAATTTAATTGGTCCAATGACCATACATTTGCTAGTGACAGCTAATGCACTAATTGAAGAGACAAAATGAGTATTTAAATTTGGTTAAGTAGGAAAAAAAAAAAAAACATTCACTGCAAGTGCAAGATTTTGTTCCTGGGAACTACTAAGTAGGTAGAATCATCTACTTAGATTATACAAGTATCACCAATTTTCTTACACAGGTACAATATTCTCAAGGGTCCAAGTTTGGACAAATTCACATACACAACTCAATTGGGAAGAGAATCAATCTCTCTTATCTGATTCCTCTCTAAAATATCTTTGACTCCAAGAAACTTTAAGAACTGCTATCCAAAGTTGCTCCAAGTTTTTGGATCTCTTTTTAATTCTTGAAATAACAAATCTTCTCAACACTCAAACTCTTTCCCATAGTACTATCCTAAGTGCCAGGCAGAGACCATGCCAGGGGCAAGGCACAGAAGGTGATACAAGTAGGGACATGTGTAAGAGTTTATATGTACACAAGAGTCACTGAAATTCAATATGTTTACAATATGAACAATGCAGAAAGATCACAGTTACTTCCTATGTACAAAAAGCCCAGTGTTATCTTTTCTGTGCCATTTACCTCTAACTATGTTTAACAGCTAACCAAAGTAAAAATTAAAAAGTGAATTCCATTCCTCTTTCAGAAGTAACCTGAATTAGGAAATAGTGTGTGCTAAATGTCAACAGCTGTGTGTCAAGGGCTTAATTCGTATTTTAAAGTCACAATTCTAGTGATGCTCTTTGAAATTATTAAAACATTACTTTTTTTTTTTTTTTTGGTACCGGGGATTGAACTCAGGTCCTTGCACTTGCAAGGCAGGCCACCAAACCGCTGAGCTAAATCTCCAGCCCTGAAACATTACATATTTATATGGCTACCAAATACTACAAAATATCCTGTATTGCCTTCTAGTCATTAAGTTTGTTTGCATGCATGCTCAGTGTCAGAATATGTGGTCATTGTAAATATGAAGAAAGAACAGGGTCTGAGCAAAGGAACAGTGTTTCTCCACATCGTCAACGACTTTCCCAACACTGGGCTCTCTATTCTTTCATATTTAATCAGTAAGCTGCAGTCAAATTGATAAAAACATCTCCAATAATTAAGGTGTTAATTCTTAAAATATTCACACTAGATAGTGTTTGTTCCAATCCCATGCCAGACTGTCAGTAACTTTCTTACTATGCGGAAATATTTTACAGTTCAATTTCTGTGGTGATTTTTACACCACAATTAACATAATTTTCAAAGAAAACTAAGTTTTAAATCAAAAGATGAAGTTACAATAATATTTAGAATTAATGACTTGGTTATGTAGATATCAGTGGGCTATAAAAATTTTAAAAGACTGCATTCACAAACTTGCCGGATTTGATCTGCAGACTTCATTCTCACAAATCTAAAATAAGCGCTGTATCAGGCACTGGAATCCATCAGTCTTCATAAGAAGCCTATTTTTGTAATGAAAATGCACCAGATGAGAACTACATCAGGGACAGCTTTATGATGGCCAGAAGGACTCACCAGTGTTGCTATTCCTTTTGAAATAGGTGGTACAGCTGGATTTAGATTTGGATGTAAGATAGGTTGAGTTGGAACCAATGGAACTTGAAGACAAAGATTTCCCTAGATTATCAGAACTCTTCTTGATGATATTGGTAGCTGTCTTGCTCCAGTCTGAAAGAAATGACATCACACTCTAAGTCTCCTTTATAAGGAATATATGCTGCCTTGAAAAACTATCGCTACATTATTTAATCTTTCTGAGCCATAGGATTTTCTGATATGCTGGCAGTGGCTCAGAGAAGATTCTGAGATGTAAACAATAGTAAACTGGAGAAAGAGAGACATTTTGTACTTTCATCCTATGTATATACTATTTAAAACCCCACTTCCATAGCAAATATACATCTTCACCTAAAAATGTAATCGAGAATCTCAAAAATATGGAAGGGTGGATCTGATGTAGTAGAACCTCTGGATATCAGAGGTGTCAAATAAGACACCAGGCCTTTTAACTCACCTAACTCATTTAACCTATCTGGAACTCATGCTGCTCTGTAGAGCAGGAAGGTCAGGTCCAAAGTTCTCAGCTCTTTTGCAGCCCTAATATTCTGATTCCACCTAAGCATCTTCACATGCTCCACTCGGACAACTCGTTACTGTTGGAACGGGGTTGCTCTGACAACAGAAGGCTAAAGGACAACTCTTTCCGATTCTGTATGTAAAAGCCAATAAGCAATAGGCCCCTTTACCTGAATTGTCTGCTAAGCGAAATCTGCCACAGCAGAGGTGCCTCCTCCACTGCTTCTGAACATTCTCCTTCATTGCACAGTGGAAGATAAATATAAATAGGCCTGTGACAAAAGAACACACACACACACACACACACAGTTAGCCACCGGGCACATTTTTAATGGCACATCTTATTAAGTTTCTAGATTCATTTTAATTTTAAAATTTTCACACTTAAGTCACTATAGGACAGAGATCTTAAGGAAAGGAATCTTGGGATATACAAGAGACAATGTAATCCTTTGGAGAAAAGTACAAAGGTTCAGACAGTTAGAATGACTATATGGATCTGATTCTGTCTTTGCTTGCTCTATTCAGCATTCCTTAGGACTTAATCTAAAGATCAAGCGGAAATAAATAACATTCAATTTAATAAGCATTTAATATTTCCCATATACTTGTCTTGAAATTACACCAAAAACTTTCCATAACATGTAGGAACACAGGAAAAACTGAAATCGTCAATAAGCTCATCGTGTCTTACATGTATAACTGCTGAGCTGTTTTACATATGTACATTGCTATGGTTATAATCATAATATATGAGGCAGGGCCTTACCAAAGTACTCTTTTCGCAGGTCAAGCATTTAGCCAAATCAAAAGGTCATATAACCCCACCAGATCTACTTTACTTTCTCAACATTTTAACACAGGAATATTTACATATTGGGCAGCAGTTTCATATTTATAGTCACTCTCTATGCCTGTCACACACTAACTGTGTCGCTGCTGCTGTGGAAGCTGCTCCTGTTAACTCTCAGGGAATCTGCTTTTGAATTTTTAACTCTCTCCTTGAGGCCTCATCAATTTCTTCCTTTACTCCTTTATGTTGGTTGTTCCCATTACCACACAAGCAGTATTCTAGTAATTCTCTTTTAAAATGAAAAAACAAAACAAAACAAAACAAACAAAAAAAAATCCAACTTCCTTCTGCAACCTCTACTCTTCTTTAAGCTGTTACATCTTCACTTTCCCAATGGACATCTTGAAATGGTTAACTTTTACCCATAACAGTTTCCACTTCTTTACTTGGCTGTATCACCTGTCAGCAGCATCTCAAACCCCAATGTTTTGAACATTAAGTCTTCCTAATCAAGATCCTTAAACCATTTCTACCTTCCATGTTTCCATGTTTTAAGTTTATCCTCACTCAATACCATGCTGAATACTCTTTCCACCACAGGTTGCTCCCTGTCATTCAAGTCTCCATCAACTCTTAACGCCTACGGAGGCCACCAGCTGCTACACATGATTATTGTAGGCCGCAGTCACTCCCTTTCACACACCTATTTTCTTTACATATGAATAATCTTGCAGTCCTCATTTATTCACTATTTGTTTGCTTATCTCTTCTTAGTAAGTAGCAAGCCCCATGCAAACAGAAATCCTTGTCTACTCAACACTGTTTGCTGGCTGGTCCCAGAAGGATGAAAGGAATTAGAGAGGAGCTAAGTGAATGTTTAATGAATAAGTGAATTATACTAATGCTGGTTAATCAATCATCTATTCTACCTGAGTTAAATGAATACACAGATGTACATTCTAAAGAGCACATTCATTTGGAGAAGAAGAGTTTAAAATAGGAGTGAGAGGTACACAAACTAAGGAGTGGCAGGAATACAGTGAAAACACATTTAAGGCAAAAGTTTCTGAAAAGCACTCATATTGTTGTTCTATGCTAAGCAGTAATTTATCTACCCAAGGGAGGGCTTTCCAGAAGACAAAGGGCTTGAACTGAATCTTGAAAAAGGCTTTCTTAGGGAGTTCAAGGTAGTTCCCAAGAAGGGTAATTCATTCCGTAATTTAGCACTGCTAAGCGGGAAGCTCCTTTTAAGGAGTCGGAGGTTCAAAGATGAACAAAGCGGACAATTCTAGCATTCAGAGAGCCAAGGGAATAACATGGAATTGTATAAAAGTAAAAATTATCACAGCACTTAGGGGCAATTTAAACTTATCTGTTCCTTTTGAATATGACGTCAGCGAGGAACCGTAAATTACACGGTAGCCTGTAAAATTGAAACAGTGGGGTAAAGTACTAACGGCACTCTCTGGATATGCATACATTTGCAAGATATGTCCAAGGTTATACCTATATTTTTTAACTTAAAATGACTGATACTTTTATTTCAGGATAAATTGCACTGTTATGAAACAATCGCGCAGGGGCTTGCTGGATTTCTACATACGGGGCCCCGACCACAGCGAAGTGGCTCTGGGCTGACTCTGCTCTGGGTTACTTTCTTTGGCCAGCAGAGATGGCTGAGCCCAGCGCCTGAAGCGAGCCTAGTACCTGGCACCTAAACGGTGCTGGCTATAAACTGCTACCCAAATGACGGAAGGACGATTACCTATTTTGACTCGAAGAGAAGTGACACTATGGAAATGCTAACTACGTTTTTGTCCAGTGATTTCAAGTCAAGTAAGTCTTATGAAAAAAAATTCCAGAGAAATTTCCATATATTTACCCCCGAAAAGTGTAAGTAATTCAATAATGTAAGTAATCCTGTCATCACTTCGATTATTCCGAGAGCATCTTATGCATAGTTGTTGTGCTAGTTAATCTCACTAGTCAACTTGGCTGGATTTAGCGATTGCTGGAGTGATGAAAGGAGGCACGAAGAGATGTACCCACCACGGTCGAGAACTGAGCGAGCTGCTGGGGAGGGGCGGCTGGAAGGTGGGCACCAAAGCCACGTCTTTGGAGGATGCATCTCTTGCTGTTGCTCTTCCCCTGTGCTCAGCTTCCCTACTGCCATGAAGTAAGCAGCTTTGCCCTACAAAATATCCTCCTACCATGATGTTTCTGCCCTGGAGCCAGCCATGAACTAAAACCTTTTACCTGACTTCTTCCTATCACATAATTTTAGAGGTACACTGTATCGATATTTAATCTATTTACATGCCAATGTCTCTGAAACTTGTGTGGCACCTGTATATTTATAGGCAATTATGGTTGTTTAATATGTGCAATGTCATCTCATATTAATTATGATTTAGAGCATTACATAATCAAAAATATTTTATGAAGTCAATGTATCTTTAGCCTCTTGTCTCTTATTACGGTCAGCATCTAATTCTCAAAATAATTCACATTTTAGCCCCACACAAGGTGAAAAAGTCAAATCTGTACCCTGGGTCTATTCCAGGGTTCTCGAGATATCAGATGCCACCTGTGAAATTTCTGTCTCTCTCACACACACACACACACACACACACAAATAGTAAAGTCTGAAGGGAAAAGCCAAAGTCTGGCAGGTTTCAAATTCTGCCCCCAGTAAAACAAATTCATTAGTTTAATGTGAACAGGAATTTAAGTTGTTCTGACAACAAATAGTATACAAATTCTTTTAGGACAATGCGCCCCTTTTCGAGTCAGCTATGGGAAAAGTGGGCATCCCCATTTGGCTTCTAAATACTTCAGGGAGACGCAAGAGAACAGGAGCCAGCGAGCCAGGGGCAACCAAAGGCTGTGGTGAGAACACAGCTATCGCCTCTTAAATTCTGGCTATTTTTCCCATTTACTTACAGATCTTAATGCCAGAAGCAGAATTAAAATCCCAAAATGTTAGTGCAGTTCAATGTTGACATTCCAGGAAATCTAATTTCGTATCGTATTCTCTGCTATCAATTTTCCCCACTTAATCATTTCGTTCCCCATAGAAAACACATGGTCTTTTTACTTTCTTCAAAGAGTCTTATGCTGTGGCCAGGCACCATGATAATCAGGCCTTATTATTCGTCATGGCATCTTGAGCTTCATTTGACCCACTAAGCAGTAACGGACATTGCCCATCTAACCTAAAAGCTAAAGTGATCCAAAAATTGAATTTAGAATTAAAGCCTTTCCTTCATCTTGATAGGCTACTGCTAGTTTCTGGAAACCCTCCTGTCTCACGAAAGAGCTCACAATGGTCCTTTCTGGGTAAATTCTTGCCTTAAAAACTACCACTGTGGTGAATTCAAGCCTTCTGTCTTCTCTTCCAGGTCTCACTCCTGCCTTCTTTTGGTTCTATCTTTCACTAATCAGAAACAAATGACCGCTTAAACAAAACCTACAACGTGGGAACTAAAAGTGTCATAACTCAGAAAACTCCGCAAGTTTCTCATGTACAGCATTTTCGACAGTGAAGCAGGACAGGTTTTGCAAAACATGTGAGAAAGTAGGCTCACCAGTGGGTGTTGTCGGGATGGAAAATGCAACATACTCCCAATTTAGGAAGGTTATCCTAGAGAAGGACCCTAAAAGCCAGGGCCAGTTCAGTAAACACGGAGGAGGAACATGGTGAAAGGAGAAAGGAGAATCCATTAAACTAGGAGTGGGAAGCATTCTGAAAAATCTCAAGTAATGCATTTGGGTTTGGTACCTAATTCTGCCATCTACCTCATGGCACATTCAATAGTATGCTTGAACCTTAATGCTAAGTGAAATAAATCAGACACACAAGTTTAAATATTCCATGGTTTCTCATGTGAGAAATTCAAAGTATAAATAACTTAAAAGGTTAAAAAAAAAGATAGATACTAGGGAACACAGAGATAGACCTTTCACAAACGGGAAGGGAAAGAAAAGACAGGAAGAGGGAGAGGGGAACAGAAGGGGATGTGAGAAGAACTAAGAGGTACTAAGTACAGGCACCAACCGCCAACTATCACTTTAATCATTACGCACTGCAAATATGTACTACGAAGCTTTTTAGGGCTAGGATTTAGCTCAGTGACACCGCGGCTGCCTCACAAGTGCAAGGTCCTGAGTTTGATCCCTGGTACCCGTCAATTTTTTTAATTAAAAAGGAAAACTATAATCCTACCTCTAAATATTGCTGTCGTATTCACTATTCTATCTTTAAAGGTTTATGGCTGTTTTCGGAAACTTCTTGAATCCTCCTTTCATGCTACCAAGTTGTCCTTTAGAAAATTATTTCTCTATGGCACCAAATTCACTGCCAAAAGATGAATCATTTATTTCCTCACTACGTGTAATGTTTCACTCAGTATGATGTCAGTTCAGGTGTTCAAGGTTCCCTCCGCAGTAATTCATCATGTGTATTGTGTGTGTGTGATTATGTAACAGCTTGACTTTAGGAAGGCTACTAACCTTGACCTCCAGGGCAAGGAAGACAATGTAGCAGGTTTTACCTCATAATTTGAGGTAAAATTTAATCTTCTTAGTTTACCAATAGCATTATCATATTTTCTATTAAATTCTCATTCATTATATTCTCCTTCATAGGTTTATAAATGGAAGTGGATATTCACCTCTTAACAAGTTTGAAATAAGAACTAAAGTGGCAGTTATGTGTCAGTTTCCTTACTTAGTAATTCCCCCCTAATAATGTGCTTTGTTATTTTCTATAGTTATTACATTGTCCGACTCCAAAGTTCTCACGAAAAATCATTAATTTGGCCGGGGATTTAGCTCAGTAGTTCTGCCGCCTGCCTTGCAAGTGCAAGGACCTGAGTTCGATCCCCAGTACCACCCCCCAAAAAATTCATTAACTTCTCTGAGCCTGTTTCTTCGTCTACAAAATGGAAAGAATATCCTCTTTTCCAGGCTTGAAAAGAAAAACAAAATCATAGATGTTGTGCAAAAGTGCCTGCAAATCATTATTCACTATACTCTGCTCTGAGTATCTTAGTGTTAGCAAAGTAATATTCCTGCAAACGTTACCTCTGAGCAGACTGATCATTACCCTTCTGTGTTCTCCCCAGCAGGGTCTACTTGCAGAACAGTATGTTGCATCTTACTATGCTGCACAGAAGATAGGCTGCTTACTCCTGAGCTATTTATCAATATTGTTCACCACTTCTGGAAAGAAAGCCGAAGACTAACCCTTCGAGACTGAGGTAGTCTTTACAACCCGATGAACTTAATCAGGAAGGTTAAACTTCCCTATAATCCACAGAAGCCTACTCTGTGTCAAATATTTTTGTAACCATTAATGGACAAAGCCTATGGGCTGAGCTGCAGTTCACCACCTGCATAACAAGCAGCAATATGCACATGCGGTGCCTCGGCAATAGCCCAGGGTGCAGGTGTGTGGACGACTTCACGAGACAGCTGCCTGACAGCCCCTCACCCGGACTTTCTTGGCAAGTAGGAAACTGCCTTTTATTCTTCAGGATGAATTACTGATGTGCAATCTAATGTTCTCGGAGAGATATGCAAATGCTGATGTAGCTATGTCAAACATTTCTTTGTTGCATAGCAGTTTGTATATAATTTTATGAAGTTATGGCCTTTAGAAAACTTAAAAGATTTTACTACAACGATTTACCAGTTTCATCATAGGGAAGGAGTAAAAATGTAAAATTCAGGTAGATACGTGATGCTATCGTGTCAAGAAAAGGTTTATGTATCTTTCAATCTTAGAAAATATCAGTGAAATGATTATTATTAATTTAATCAAGTGAAGTAGATAAAATAAAAAATATGGCAAATCAGTAAATAATAAACTTGGTTTTAATTTGGGTTCAATTAATGACTTCGTTTCCTTACTCAAGTAGGTAAAATTTTAGTTATAGTCGCACAGATTATAATTTTCTGATACTCAGTGTGATTTTTGGTAATTGCTTGCAGTTATAAGTGTATGAAAAATGAAAATATATAACATTATAAATAAAAATTAAAGTACCTACTCAAGTAAATACATAAAATATAAATAAAGCATGCAAAATTTATAATATACATACTATAGTTATGAGTATTCCTGTAATCACACATATATGTATTTGTACACACACACCAACATACAAGAACCCTGAGAGATAAAATGGATTTTTAACACCTTGAACCAAACTTTGAAGAATTAATGTGAAAAGAAACCTGTAAAACACCACTCCTACATGTCCAACTGAGATTACCCTTTGCTTAGAAGTTTTAATTTTCAGTATGCTATAAGACAACTCCTTACCCGAATTATTCTAGAAAAATAAGAGCTCCATGTCCAAACCAACATCCAGCGCGTTGTAGTGCAAGCTTCCTACCTTCCTCTTCTTGCTCATATCTCTCCAGCTCCCCACCCACCACAGTCTGAAGTGCTGGACCGCCCTACCCTGGACCACTCCTCTCTGCGTTCTCTGCACACACAGTCGGACAGCTCTCATCCAGTCTGCACATTCTGTCCACCTCATCTTTATAAAGCACACACCCGACCATGTCACACTGCATGCCTGACACCTTTCAAATACTTCTCCTTGCTCTTTTTAAAAATTTATGTAAAAATTTCATAACAAACTAATAAGAAAATAATAGTTGATCCACTGTGTACCATCATCTTCAAAGTACTCAGAGTACATGACATAGACACAAAAGATTCTCTTACAGAAAAGAAACAGATAGTAGCACAAAACTTTCTTTTCAATGAATTGTAGACTGTAGTAGTATAAATGAAGCAAATTAGCATTATATTAAAATACCTTTGAAACAGTGAAGTAGGTAATTTAGGGAATTATTTGATTTCCCTGATTTCTACTTATCTGTCTTCTATTTTGTTCTTTACTACATATATCCACATCTATATACCATCATATCTTCTGTCCCCTGCTCTCAATACCACCTGCTATGTAGCAATGCATCTGACTGACACGTCAGTGTCTCCTGGTATAAGCTCCATGAGACAAAGTACCAAAGAAAAAATAATTTTTGCTTAAATGAAGAGGATCAGAAAGAAAAAAGAAAAGATATAATGAAGTCTGCTTAAGTGCTCCATGATTTAATCTTGTAGTCACTTAGCTGTTCCTCTAAACTGTAAATCCCACAAGCTTCTTTTAATAAAGCACAAACTTGTAACAACAAAGCCTCCTTGGAAGAAAGACTCACCAATAAAAGCTAGCAGGTAACTTTCCATAGTGTCCCAAGAAATTTTGGATAGCCTGGCCAGCTAAGCAAACTATAGCAGACGAATGTGCTCTGTATCATGGCTTTTTAATTTAAATTCTCTTTAGAAGGTTTTTTTTTTAATACCATTGAATGTGCTGAAATCTGTTCTGAATTTATGTAATTTAAAAATCAGCCTTAAAAGTCAGTGATTTATGAAGAACACTGACTTGATGATGGTTTACAACATTTTTCCCTCCTGACAAGAGACCCATGCTGGAAAAATAAAACATCCCAATTCTTATTCATGGAAACAGAGCAGCACAGACAACTATAACTGCTGAAGGTTAGTGACATTGCCAGGAAACTCGAAAAGCAAAACCAAGGTTGGGCTGGCAGATCACCGTGCCTTTCATGTCCAATCCTGAAATGTAAAACCATGGAATTTCTAATGTTAACAGACACTTTTGTCAATATTTATTTAGGCTCTTTTATGTAGTATATTATAGAAGTAAAGGAATGCTTACTTTACAGAGCGAGATCCCAAGGAAGATGCATTCATGTGCTGTGCACTCAGCTTCCAACTTCAGGAGGTGAACTTCACGCTTATCATTCTATCAACTAAAGATACCAAGCCTGCACACTCCCACTGTTATGGGAGAGGGAACCTGAATAAAATCTGCTGAACTAATTATTGCACAGCCATGCCACAGGATTCCCAGTGTGGATTTAGACCATGCCCAAAGTCTCTTCCCTTTTAAATCCAGCAATCCATTCTTTAAACAGAGGATCTTTGACACAGTTTTAGTTCACAAGCTGGTGGAGGACGCAGGGGTGTATGAAGTGAGCCATAACTCCGCTGCAGCTAAGTACAAACCTTTCTTAGAATACCAGAGTAGGGAGTGCCCGGCGAGGCACCTCATGTGTATTGCACAAACCTGCCTCCCACCCCAGCTCAGACTGTTCAGCTCTGGTGTGGTCCTCCTTTCCATACACTCATAACTGCACAGCCAAGACCTTCTGTAAGCCATTAGCACTGCTCTGCCCAAAAATACTCCAAATGTTGTGATCTAATTTCTCTTGGGTTCTTGGCCTCATGATGCTTCTGAACATTAGGGGTTTTTATCAGCAGCACAGGGCATATGAAAAGAATGCAAATTCGTTTTCAGAAAAAGAATTAGTATTTATCTGGGGTTAAAAGTTACACCCATTATAGAGTACACTAGAGTTTGTACTATGGAATCAGAAATGAGACTGAAAAATCCTTGAAGGAAGTTTTGTATTTTTATACAAAGACGATCGGCAAATGTTTGTTAGATTGAACTAACTGCCCTATTTCATGAAAAGACAAGAGTTTCTCAATTAAATGGTATTTATTTTGAAATTCAAGGAATCAAGGTGTGCTGCTTCTGTCCCTGAATAGATACTAGACACTTCTGAACATGCATGGGCAACCTGAATCCAGGACAAGGATTCAAGAAACCGTAAAGGTGATAAAAGTTATCTGTGTCCTTGGATTGGTGACACAGAAATGATGTGGCATCTGTCCAAATCAGCAAATACGATAAACTCAAAAGTGGAAATTGTTCAGGCACCACTTACCTTGTAATGAATTGAAGATGGAGAAGAGGTACATGAAAGGGATATTTAAGGGTCCCCAGGCAAAGAAAGCAAATCCCCACGTCATGCCCAGCAGAAAGGTCAGGCTAACCACACTTCGAAGGTTCCTTAGAACCTCTTCTCTCAGCGGCCGGTTGCTTCTCTTGCCATTTCTCCCACAGATCTGCACCATCACCACAATAAACATGGCTACATTCAGGAAGAACATGACTCCGAAATATCCAGCACAGGTGACATAAAATACCACCGGATCCTGAATCCAACAGCTTAAAAAGAAGAAATGAGAGAGAAATAGGATTTTATTACCATGCCATGTGTAAGACTTTTCTTGGTTTGGTTTGAACTAGTACAGGCTTCTCTCTTCAACACCTTTGGAAAGTTCCAACACCTTTACTCCCCTAGACCTCAGTGTGTTCTTTGATCTTTCACTGATGGAAAGGTTTTGGATATCATCTTAATATCTAGTTATTTGAGTCAACATGTAGAAGATTTCTGGGTCACTTCTTGAGCTCTGATTTGGTATGAGAACACTCTTGGTTGGTTCATCTCAAACCATGTCTAATCTCCTTTTCTCTTATGTGCCTTTACTCAAGAATGGCAAATTTCATCACTCATTTTTACTTGCCCTTGTCGTTAATGGTTTGTTGTGTGATGCTATTCTACAAAACACTGTGGAACCAGAGTCTGCTAAAGGACTTTTGGGGGAATCATCTGACAGACTCACATGGGAAGGTTCAAATTTCTGCCTTTTTCTTGTGCCAAGTGAGAAGAGTTAGTTCAGAGTCATTTAAGTCACACCTAATTATGGGTTCATTACAGTAAACAAAGTAATTCCTATCAATACAATTGGTCTAATTGAGGGGAGACCTCATGGTAGCATTGAAAGATTCCTATGTGAACACTTTTTACGCGCAATCACCAAGGCTACATTTATTACAAAACATTTTACTGCAACAAAAGGATATACTCAGAATGATATACAGATCATAAAGTAATAGAAAGTAAATTTAAAACTATACTATAGGCAAAGATGACAAGTATCACAATTTACAGATGCCCTAGTGCCTAATTTCCACTGTGAAAATTAAGCAACCTCAAAAAATTGGATGAATGATGTAATACAGCAAAATTCACGTTAAAATGTATACATGAGGCTGGGGATTTAGCTCAGCGGTTCGGTGGCCTGCCTCGCAAGCGCAAAGACCTGAGTTCGATCCCCGGTACCACAAAAATGTATACATGGTCATCATTCTGGAGTATTCCACACTAGAACATAACTTCCACAAAGGTAAAAACTGTCTTCAACCTCTTTGACTCCTAGAATGTAACACAACTCCTGGCTTATAGAAGGTGCTCAATAAATGAGGGCATTGACCATATTTCTATGTAACACTCTTACGCTGTCACTGAATTGTTCACTACCTGAAGTTGCTATTTAACTCTCTTCAAGATGCATATGGGCTTGAGCAGGCAGGAGTACGATGGAATGTCCTCAAATAGAGTGGGTCTTCTCAGGTCAGAAGGTAATTTAAGCTTCTTTTGAGTTTCACACATGGTAGAATATAATGCTAGTAGAGAAAAGCAGCTCAAGTATTTCAAGGCATTCTAACAAATTAATTGGTGGGATGGACCCTCACCAAGCAATGCCAGTACACTAAAGCCTTTCAAACTGAGTGCCTCATATTTCTATAGAAATTTACAGTAAACAAAATACATATACTCATCAAAAATAAATTCCACAGAAGTTCACATCACTTACAATTCATCACCTTGTTCTTTCCCGTAACTTTCTTTACCATAGACTTCGTTCTGTCTTCTGCTTGCCAGAACAACCGACACTATTAAGGCAGGCAAACCTGTCATAAAGATATAGGACAACAGATGGTCTCCTGAAGCACTGGGAACCGCTTTATAAGTACTAAAATGACGAGGAAAGAAAAGGAAAGAAAGAAAGCCTCGCATATCACAGACTCCAACTTCTTAGAACTGGCAAGTTGGTTAAAACCAACAATAAAATCCTCTCCTTGGAATGGAATTACCAATCCTAATTTTAGCAGCAGTCAAAATCTACTTTTCCAAGGCTAATCCTCTGTTTGCTCAGAGATACCCACTAGAGACTGCAGAATCTGAATCCAGCACCAGCAAATGTACTTTCATTGACGACACTGCACTGAACCGCTACAGAACAGGCAATGAAGTAAGTCAAACTTATTTTGCCCCCTTTTATATAAAGCAAATAATTTAGAGAAAGGGTAAGAAGAACAACAGGGATACTAAGGCTTTATGGTCTTCTTTATTCTCTCCAGAGACTCAATAAAATATTCCGACACATATTTCAGTGAGAAAATGGATGCCCCCAAGTCCCTGAAAAAGTGTGTTTATTGCCTCCTAAAGGGGCACTGAAGATCTTAATTGCTAACACCACCCCCCGAAAAAGAAATTGTGAGAAAGCTCTAAAATGCCTAGTCCAACACAAAACCCTGAAAAAGAAAGGAGCTTAGAGAGAAGATTCCAAACAGGCTAACACAACCATTCCATGTCTGACCGAGGACTCATGTTAAAGAGTTCAAGGCAAGAAATGTGTGCGTGTCTCGGTTGAACACAAAATAGTAACATTCTTTCTCTGGCTTCCAGGGCACGGACATGTGTTGGGACGAGGATAGCTTGGAGTCTCGGCTGGCCTTTCTATCTTGGAGCATCATGGAAGTGCGCCACGGACTGCCAGCTGCTTCTGCAGACTTGGCTGGGCTGGCTCTGGGCTCAAGAAATGAGTCTGCGGTGACGCAGGAGCTAAAGCTTTCCTCTCCTCCTGAATTTAGTGAGGGCTACCGAAGTGTTTTGAAAACGCAGTGCTGAGGATGCCCTTGCCTTAGGACACATAATGCACATCAGTCACAACGTCTGCAGCGACACTCTTTAGAAACCAGGGTCCCCCTACGAGTGGGGGGCAGCCCTCCTGATAGAACCAACCTAAAACATAGGAGGCTTACCCCAACCGATGATGCAAAATTTGAGAACATAGCGGCGGATGTAGGTGTTAAATACTTTTACTAGCGCAATATACATGTGGATGGCTTCCAGCCCCATCCAGGTGAAGGTGGCCAGGAGGAAGAAGTGCAGCAAGGCAGCGACTGCCATGCACAGCGCGTCCACGTCAAAGGAGGTGATCCAGCCGTCCAGCAGGAAGATGAGGTTCAGGAACAGCAGGGCTGAACTGAGGTTCATCAGGATTTTGGAGGGATAATCCCTTCGTAATTTCCTTAAAAAAAAAAAAAAGACCAGAATGAATGTTGTAAATAAATCTTTTAAACATGAGAGCGAAGTCGTATCTTCCATAACTCTGCAGTAGGTTAGGTAACCCCATTCTTCACGACAGGGTTCTACTATGTGGAGGGCTAAAGAAGTTTATGGGAATTTGGCAGGTTATAAAGACTTTTTAAGTACTAATTTTATTCCAAAAACTGTTTCCAATTGTTTGCAGAATTCCCAACTGGTTTCCACAGATTTTCTTCAATCCAGGAAAAATTCCAGTTATAAGAATGACATTTTATTTTTAAAAAAATTCCCTAAACTTTTTTGATGTTTTCATGAGTTAAAAATTCCCTTTAAATTTTTTTTTCTGTTTCAGGACTAATTTTATAAGATTTCTGAAGCAAACAATTTCACCTTTTAGGATGTAGAAAGTATTTCACACAGTTATATTTACTTAGATGTTAACCATCTCAAAGATTTATTTTTTTATAAATAGAAACAGTGATTACGAATTTAGTAATATAGCTGGAAAACTTGTGTCATCTGATCCTACGAGAAACCTGAGCATTAAAACTGGATCACCCGACATGATTCACAAAATGTATGATTGTTCTTCAAAGCCAGGGCAATTTCTTTATTCACATTTGGAACAGTTAGAACTGAGCTTGGCAGAAAGAAAAATACTTACTCAAAAGCAACATATGTCAGGAGAGTTGCTGCTGAAAAAATAGCAGACACTCCACAGCCAATATAGGTGATGAATGTGAGGACTTTGGTGTTTCTTGCGTCTATCTGGGAGGCACTTCTTGGAAGGTCCTGCATAAAACATGGGAAGCAGCTGTAAGAACTGCTCTCGATAAGAAAGGTGCTCTGTGTCATTAGAAATCAGTGCTAGCCTCAGTACAGCTCTCTTAGAGGATGTGAACAACAAAATACATCAACACTGAAATCCCATTTATTACACACTGGCAGATCAATATGTGAGAGAAAAATGCAGCCTTACTGTTGGAAGGAGGTGCATATTGTTTTGGATCTTTATCTTCTTGCCCAAACTTTTGTGTCCAGTATAAGTTGAACAGCAAAACCGCCCAGTCTCCCAAAGAAACTGGGGAGGAGGGAGCTCCCTTGCATAATAAGCAGTCAGGCCCATTTCTCTGTTTACACAACCAAGGGAGTAAGTGCAAATGGAGGCCAAAACCTTGGAACCTTAAATTATTTGCAGGTGAGCGATCCTCAGAAAAGCTAGTGGTAGGACCAGGATGTAACTCAGCAGCACAACATCTGCCTGGCAAGCACAGGGTCCTGAGTTCGATCTTCAGTAGAGAATGCATAATAAGCAGTCAGGCCCATTTCTCTGTTTACACAACCAAGGGAGTAAGTGCAAATGGAGGCCAAAACCTTGGAACCTTAAATTATTTGCAGGTGAGCGATCCTCAGAAAAGCTAGTGGTAGGACCAGGATGTAACTCAGCAGCACAACATCTGCCTGGCAAGCACAGGGTCCTGAGTTCGATCTTCAGTAGAGAAAGAAAGAAAGAAAAAAAAGAGAGAGAGAGGGAAAGAAAGAAAGAGAAAGAAAGATAGTTCGATCTTCAGTAGAGAAAGAAAGAAAGAAAAAAAAGAGAGAGAGAGGGAAAGAAAGAAAGAAAGAAAGAAAGAAAGAAAGAAAGAAAGAAAGAAAGGAAGGAAGGAAGGAAGGAAGGAAGGAAGGAAGGAAGGAAGGAAGGAAGGAAGGAAGGAAAGGAAAAGACAGACTGGTGCTGATAGCTATGAGGTATATGAAGAGTATACGGCTCTTACAGTGATGTCGAAGCTTTTAATCACAGTCATTTCAAAGTCTGGTATGTATAATAGGAAAGTTTTAAAACTTTACAAAAATAAATGTTAAGAATTTTTAGGTTGTATTTTTTTTTAATCCCTGCAGACTCGACAGGGCACAATTTAAAGTGTGTGGAGTGGGGGTTGTTACAGTGGAATGGCAGAGGCAAACAGTTTTCAGTACATTAAGATATACGTTACTGATTTCACTGTGTTCAGGCAGTCTTTCAAAATCTGGACATGGTAGGAAAATTTTTTTCCTCCTTAAATGGGGGGTTAGAATGGGGATACATCTTAAGGTAAGACCAGCCACTCAATCATGGTTGGATGAAAAAGTTGCTTTGAACATGGACATGTTAAAAAACAGAGGCTTCTTAGAAATGGGATTGATTGAACATCCAATGTAAAACTCTAGATTCCTATGAAAAAAATTGTTTCAGATTTTTCCTGTTATACGTTAATTTTCTTCAATTTAAAAATGTCAGTAAATCTGTTACTTACACATAGGCTTGAGTAAATAGTGTTGTTTTGCACCTGCATATATGTGAAATGACTCACAAGGAATGGGTATGGTAACTTCGTAACATGGAGAAGTGCACAGTGATGGAAATCAGCAGGCTCGGGAACCCATGAGTCAGAGGGACTCCTGCTTTCTCATTATCCCAGGAATCTCAAACCCTGTGAGGACACAGGGATGCACAGCATATGGGATGGGTGTCCAGTCGGCACTGTCCGGCTCCGGAAGGGCTCCCTCAGGCAGCAGTCTACTTACTCCAAGATCTCACAGACCAGAGAACTGGACCACAGACTTGAGGGACCTCCAAGGGACATGGCCCTAGATCTTGTAAGACCTCTGCTTCTATCTAGCTAAAGCAAATGACTTGTGAACCACAATCGATAAAACGCAGAATTCAAAATAAAAATTAAACAACCTGTTCACTAATATCAACTTATACAGAATTTTTATGTTGTTTTATATCTACAGAGAATTAAAATATGAAAGTATCTATCTCTCTAGATTTGCCAACATGAAAATGTTACAAATATGAAAGTTTTACTACAGAGAAACATAGCAAGGGATATTATATTCTACATGCATTTATAGATTAGAAGATACATTTATGGGTGACTATGTCGTGGGAAATTTTAGACTCTGGTAATATACAAGTGAATTAAAGAGTCTGTCTAGCAGGAAAAACTCTTCACAATGTCTTGGTGGTCTGGAAAGTGCTGAAAGGATGTGGACATATTGCCAAAAAGGATAAATCTTGGAAAGTTTTGCTTCCAGCAGTTTACAATCTTACACATATAGTCAAGATGGAAAATGGAAAGATAACATGAAAAATGCCTATCTCCACATAGATACAAAATGAATTGTTTAATCAGATGGGAATATAAAAGTAATATGCAAAGGCACTGGAGACTCAAAGCAATGGACAACTAAAATCTGGTTGTATACATATCATCTCTGAGTATTAAATTTTTTATTATCTCTATAATAGTAAGCTTGTAACACAATCATATTTACATATAAAAGAAATGTTTAAATGAATTACACTGCAGCTTACATGCCTGAATGACTAATCTTGCAAAATAAGTTATTTTATCAAAGAATGCCTGCTATCACTTTTAAAGAAAGGAGAAGATAAAAGGAAATTTAAATTTCTTTTTACACTGCTAAGGGAAAATGTGCTAACTGTTCATTTTCATGTTCTACCAGTAGATAAAAATATTCATATTGTGTGGCCATTAAAAAGTTATTCTCTGTGATTTGTCACATTTTTCAATGACTTACTCTTATTCCTCAGAGAATGTATGTCCTGGGTTGTCAGGAAAATTACAACTTGCAAAGCTGCCATGCAACAATGGCCACTTGCATAGGCCAAGTAGTTCACAAGCCAAGTACTACATCCCACAGTTCCTCACTGGTTCCTCCCAGTCCCCACAGGAAGGAGGGTGTAAGATTTAAGGGAAGGGATAAACACAAGCTCATGTCTGTGTTTCCAATTGGAAAAGCTTTAATGCCTCAGCTGACAATGCTCCCATATCCTATTAAAAAAACAAATGTGGTTGGTCCCTTCTTGGAAACTATTTTGAAATGATGACTTTTACAATATGGATGATTCTCTCAATACCAGAAAAATGTTTGCAAAGACAAAAACATACAGAATAAAAGGCAAAGGTGTAGTACTTACTATAAATAAAAGTACTATATATAAAGTACTATATATAAAGTTCCAACAAATCCTTGGATGGGGTGGATCTCGAAGACTTGGTGGGGTGAAAACACTCACCGATGTGATCTACTTCTTGATCGAAACTGTTGGGTGTATGCGCTAATGAGATAAAAAGCAGGTCCACGAAAAGGGAGGAAGGAAGAAATAATGCTACGAAGTTCTGAGCATAAGAAAAATGCAATGACCATTATCCCTCTTGCAGGACTGCAGTCTCCATGCTACCTTGAGTCACAAATTCATCCTTGCAGACTGTAACCTCCAGGAGGGGGAATCACCTGTCACACTGTCCCGGTACAAAGTAACAGTCAAATATATTGAGGCATAACCTAAGGAAGAAAATTTTTGATCGATCTCTTCACAATTTTCTTCCATCTTAGTAGTATCCAATGTTTTCTTCATTTTAACTTTTCTCCCTCCTTTCCTTGTCGCCTTGCCTCTGTTTTTCTCTAGGGTTTCAAAAGGATTTCTTTTTCTCTAGAATTACCTATCATACCTCGTTCTATTATGAAACGAATAGAGTTCTTTCTATAATTACCTTCCCATAATTGTAATAGATGCTGTCTACTAATTAGATTATAGTATAAGAATCAAGATGTTTCCCTAAAATGTACCAATAAACTCAATTAAAGCTGGAAAAATAAAAGAAAAAAAGAATCAAGATTCAGGGTACAGATGAACATTACCAGGAACCAATTCCCAGAAAACATAATCTAAAAAGGTGGACTCACAAAATCAAACATGCTTTCCAAAATTATATCACATCAGATGAGCTTCAACTCTCTCCCTTACCATCAGGACCCCAAAGTGTGTGAAGTGGTTACACAAGCATATGGTCTCGCTGGCATCTGAATCTGTGTGAGCGACACATCCCGACGTGTTCCATCCCCCAAAACTCTCTGTGGGAGGAATCGACAAAGAGTGAGAAAACCACATCAGGTCACTGACTTCTCTACATGGGATGAGACCTTCTTCAGGGAAATTTACTTTAGTTCCTCCTGCTTTATACAATTTATCTGTAAGAGGAAGACAGCTTTGTGTGTGTGTGTGTGTGTGTGTGCGTGTGCGTGTGCGTGGGGATGGAGCCCAAGATATCATAAGCTATCTACCCAGATATTTTATTTAATTTTTTAATTTTTTTGATACAGATTCTCACCAAGTTACCCAGACTGGCCTCAACTTGTGATCCTTTGCTTCGGGTTCCTAAGTAACTGGGATTATCATTCCTAAAGCCACCAATACCTAGAATAATACAGATTCCTAGAATCACGAAATGTTAGCACTGGGCAGGCAGAGAGAGATTATCTAGTTGGTGTATTCTGCTGAAGTACCTCAGGGCTTCTTCAGATATTCCAAATTTAACTTTGAACTTTTATAAAAACGAATGTCTTCAAAAGGAATAATCTTTTCAAATACATTACATGCTAATGAACTCATTGGAGACCAATGTAACCCCTGGCTGCCAAGATCAGTATACAGTTCTGTGAAAATACAAGAACAAAGTAGATCTGGTTTCTCGCAAGGTGCAGTTATGTACACAGCAGTCACACAGGGTGATGATCTATTACAAATAATTTGAATGCACCTTAAGTGACTTGTATGGTATAATATGACACATGAGCAACTCATGCATTGTTAAAACACTGGATCCATTTACTTGAATAATATTTTAAGACTCAGGTAATTTTTGTAATGATGTGCAGTATATGAGTAAATCGGGGTTTCACAACAATGCAATTAATATACTACAGAACAGCACAGCCCACCTGTAATGAAGACTATCCGAAAAGGGAGTTTAAGGCACTTAGGGGACATATATATATATTTTTAAAAAATACCTACATGCCAGGACTGATTTGGCTACAATAGTCTCATGAGGAACCCCAAGGGAAGGTGACCTTTCAGGTGCAAAACCATGAAGTTTCATCACTTCTACTGCTCCTCAAAAGGATTCACACACTGGTGCCTAATGATTTGATTTTCCTTTATTTTTTTTTTCCTTTCTTGGTTGTTAAATGCCACTCTGGAGGCTATTCATTTCTTCCAGTAATCCATGTCCCTTATTGCCATTTTGATCCCAGTGTTTATCTTCCTTTAGTGCGCCTCCCACCACTTCACAATTTGAGACCTGGAGCTCGCCTTTCTAATTGTGTGCCTTGAGCAAATCAAATAATCCCCTCAGATGTGTTCTAGAATAACAGATTACACATGTCTCTCTTCAGCTAAAAGTGGCAACAAAAATGTGTAGTGTATTTCCCAAACAACTGAAATCAAAGAGGTTGTTTTATCACAAAAAAGAGAGAAAAGAGTCAGGCATGTGTATTTCTTTGTGCAAAGGCTGAAAAGTTACAGCAATTATAACTGACTCATCAAGCTCAGTTGCCCTTACACTTATATTATGACTCATTTTGTTTTTGAGGCAGAATGAAAGGAAATGGGGGTGTCTAACAGTGTTTAAAATTCAGTTCTCATCTATATTAAGAAAATCTGTATTTTAAAAACTTACTGTTTTTGTTCAGATCCCAGAAGGCACAGATGGGCTGATGCACTTCCTATATTAACATAAAAATAAATATGTGAAGTTGTGTTTAAAATAACTTAAAATCATATGATTGAAATGTGGCAAGGGAATGAACATGCCTACGGTTCTACAAAGAAATACATCAGCATTAGACAACCTGAGAATATTAGAGGTGATCTTTCATGTGGAGACTTCAGGTGAAAATCAACTATGACCTCATGAAGAATCACGTGACCCATCTTTCTGCAGTTTATTACTACTTTTCTGAAGTCCTATCATTAAATACTACGTCCCGTGTCATTCTTAGCTCTTAGCAAAGTACTTTACATTGTAATTTCCCATCACCTTCAAAATGCACTCTTATGTCTGGAGATAAAAACAGGGCTCTGAGATAATTACACGCACAATATTTAGTAGTACTATTCAGAACAGACAAATAGTAAAAGCAACCCAAATGTCCATGGATGATGAATGGATAAACAAAATGTGACATATACATATAAAGGAGTAGCATCCAACCCTAAAAAGAAAGGAAATTCTGACACCTGCTGCAGTACAGGTGAATCTTGAAGACACGATGCTAAGAAAACTAAGTCGGTCCCAAAGAAAAACACTGTGCATTTCCATTTCTATGAGACACTTCTTAAAGGAGTCAAATTAACAGAGACTGAATGTAGGAGAAGGTTGCTAGGGGCTGCTGGGACAGGCAAATAGGAAGTTTGTGTTTAATGGGAACAGAGGTTCGGCTGGGGAAGACAGAAGGGCTCTGGAGATGGATGATGGTGATGTTTGCACAACGATGCGAATATACTCCACACCACTGAATGCATAGTTTAGAATGATTAAAATTTTATGGATGACAGGGCTGAAAACAAAAGAGCTTGAGGGTAGACTGAGGAGGTCTTTGAGGGTTTGAGACAAAGGCTGGCAGGTTCTTTGCTGGCTTAACACAGATCCTTCACACTTATCGGTCTGCTTACTTCCTGCCTGCCTTTCTGCTTCTCCAATACATGGCAGGATTGTGACTGGGACCCTGTACGAAAGTGTAAAAAGCCAGTACCTGGGCCACTGAGGAGATAAGAGTTCCCATGTAACTCTGCCACAAAAACAGATGACAGCAAGGATAACGAAGCAACAGAAAACTCGCCAAGATTTTTAGCAGCTGCTAATCTCTTAAAGAATAAGTGCATCCCCTCCTGTTAGCCCCTTGATTTTCCCAGCTGCAATTAGCTTTGACTTCAGAAATATAAAGAAACAATCAAAACCTCTAATGACAGAATGGCTCAACTTTATCTGCACTAATTTATTTGAAACCGTGTATGTCATTTCTTAAGAGCAACAGCCTCTTTTTTCACTCCCATTCTTGTTTTTGGTTATTGAGTCCTGAGCAAGACCAATTCTCACCTAGCTGCTGCTTTTACTCTGAACAGAGCTCTGCCTAACAGTTCTTCCTTCTGGAAGATACAGCCCCCATTCATGAGAAGTGCCAGTTGCCTTTTATCATGTAGTGAAAAGGCTGGCAAAACAGTAAAGTAGTTGCACTGTTCAATTTCTATTTGTATTATTTTCTTACCTGAGTTCTTGTATGTTTGATTTTAATTTGAACAGGATCCTTCAGATCCTTAATAGTAATGTTTCCAATACTGCATGCCATCACATAGCTCACTAAGGTTTTTCTTTGGGGTCCTACATCCTTTTAAAGAAAAAAAAATGAATAGTGTGCCTTAGTCAGACGTATACACTTTTATTTTGCTTTCGTGCTCCAAAATAAGCAAACCGTCAGCAGTTTTTACACTTAAGATCTTCAATTCTAGAACATCCTGTTTATAACATGAAATTACTGGCTTTCCTGAAGGAGCTGTGCTATTTCCCTTATTATAATAAATACATTGAAGGAGCATTCTGAGCCAATATTATAAAGCAATGTCCATAAAGCTCCATTCTTGATTGTAGTGACTGATGTCAGCCGTTTAACATCTGAAACAATGCAAACTCATAAATAATATAAACTCATAAAAAGCTGTGAAACAATTAGATCATTTCCCTGCTCTAGAAAACAGATGAAGTAGCTTTCCTTTAGAAGAGTATGAAGGAAATATGGTGTGAAAAATAAAAAGCAATTCATCTTTCACATCCATGCCAACAGCCTGATGTGTTTACTTATAACCCAAATGCAATTCCCGCTATTAAAGTCCCATCCGAAGTCCCACCTTCTGTGGCTGCATACGTGCCAGCAGCTGCAGATTCCCCCGCCGTGATAAGGGGCCGGGAAATCCAGTCAGCAAATGCGCTGCAAACGCATTTGGACGGACAGGCCCTCTCTGCAGCCAGTTCTTTTTTCGTCTTCCACTTGTACTTCCTGTCAAACCTTCTGAATTTCTTTCTGCCCCACAGCTTATAAATCAGTTGTTTTGGCATAACTTTACAATTTCTTAAATTCCAAATAAACCTCAGCATCCAAAATACAGCTTTTTAAATTACATTTTATGACGAGCGCTATCAAAACTACAAAAAATTGGCCAGGGATACCCAGCCTCCTGTCTCGCTCGTTCTGTTAGGGGAGTACCATACAGACTTTAAAATGTTTTATTCAGCTATAAATTTAGTTTAAAAGACAAAAGTGTGCTTCTTAATAATAACTTTGATTGGAAGATGCCAAATGAGGAGGGAAAATGCTGTGGAGAAGATCTGACTCGAAACAGTAACGGATCCCGACTACATTACCCTAAAAGCGGTGTCAAATCCTTCACACAGTAGAAGCCTCTCCTCCTCACTGGACCCTCTTCTCTACATCATTCACATTATGTGACACCTCTCATATATTTCATACGATTTTTTAACGTGACATTGCTATAAGTCTCAAGTTATAGTAATTAAACAAATGCAGGTGTATGTGTTCAAACCTATAAAATTCTTTATAGATAACATGTTTTATATAAAATAAATTGTATTTATATAATAACAAATATGTTAGCATAAAACATCTGCACATAACATTCTAGAATTATATATTTCTTTCTATGGTATTCTTTTTCTTTACCTGCAACTATTTGGCCTTTCCAATGTGCATAATTCATGGGGTGGGTCTATTAGAAACAATTCTAGTGTCCTCCTTGAGACTTCGAACTTTCTTTTACAGAGTTGCGGTGTTTGACACGGGCTAGCATTTTAAATTTAATACATAACTGTTATTTTTAAGAAAGAACTCAGCCAAACTGCTCTAGATGCCATTGTATTCACAAAGGCAACTGGAGGTCACCAGTGTTTGCTGGTAGCGGACCTTCTAGTACCTAGAACTAATGCCAATAAAAATTTTAATATGTGCTCAGCACAATGCCACCCTACTCTGCGGATGTGTGAGGGCCAGAGGTCACTTGAAATACTAATGGGAAAACTGATTAAAGCCAAGAATGCTGCTCATTATGTAAACAGTGCTTCCTGCTGAACTAAAAAAAAAAAAAAATCCTTTCCTTTGGTGTACAATTTCTTTAACTCTAAAAGTTTAACTAACCAAGGATCATAAGATATTTAACCAAGGGAATACTGAACAATTACTTCTTTACTAACTCAACTTCTAGTTGTATCACATAAGTTTTAGGCTAATATTTTACTTACTTTAAAAACTTACTTAAAAAAACTTTAATGTTTGACTTACTTTTAAAATCATTTTATTATGTTAATGAGAATATTATCTGAATAGAACATTTAAATAATAAAGTGCTTTACTCTTGGGAATGAAGTAGATTAATTTTTCCATATTTTATGACATATTTCAGAGGAATCTGAACTTTTCTCTTTACACCTGAGGAAAGAAATGTCAATGGCAACTAAAAAATAATAACGTAATGAAGGCTTACCTGGAAAAGTCCAGTTTTATTGAAGAAAGTAAATTGTGCTCTTCTAACTAATACAGAATCTTCTTGACTTAAATTCTCAAGTAAGTTTGGAGGTAAAATTACAGAAGCCAATGAATCCACTTGTCCACTCTCAAAATCCATCTGTCAAACAGCAATAATTTAGCAGATCAATCACAATGACATGGTAATGACAACTTATTCTAAGTGAAAGAAAAATTCAAGTATCAAGCTAGCTTGGATCAGGTTTGCCCTTCACTGCTACATCGCATAGCGGGCCCCGCAACTCCAAGACAGAGGTCTAATTCGGGGTTTATATACGTGACCAAGCCGTAAATGCTTGGATTCTAACTGGGGGAAACTGAGGAATATACAAATCGGTCCACATTACAAGAATGAAAATTAGATTTAGTGGCATCATACATAGATGGAGATTTATTCAAAACAGTGAAAGATAATAACTAGAGACGGAGGGTAAGACGAAAGGTAATTGTTTGATGGTAGAGACTGAATTGCTGCTGCAAAAGAAGCAAAAGCTGGAGTTTGAGGATATTCTCTGACGTCATTTTTCCTGAAACAGTACTTGAGGAGAGCTTGCTTTCTTGTACTCTTGGCAAGAGACTGAGTGAGGCCGAATGAGTCTTCATTCTCAAAACATGAAAAGAGAATTGCCCCAAAGAGACCCTAGTCAAGGAGAAAAACGGTCTTGTCTGATCCTAGTCCCAGACTTTTTCTATTTTCACGCTGTCTATCCCCACATCTAAAGAAATGCTATGCTTCACATACACTCTCCCAGGTCAGGAACCATGGTGCATTTATTTTGTTTGGCTGCTGGTAGATGAGCATTGTGTTGTATGCAGTCAGTGCCTGAACATTACGTACTGAAGTCTGATTCCGATATCCCCAGGAGGCACTACCTTAGAACCCATGATTACTTGTCCAACTTGACTGTCACTTGATGTTCAAGACATCTACCTCATTGGTTTTCAAAGCGTGATCTTTAGGCCAGAAGTATCAGTGTTTATCTGGGAACTTGCTCAAAGTGCTAATTTCAGGGCTGTACTCAGCTCCTATGAAATGAGAAGCTGAGTAAGGCCCACCCATCAGTCTTAACAAGTCTTCCAGGATGTCTATGCTCACTTTGAGACCCACTGGCAAAGAGAAGACCCTCTCGTTCTTCCCACCAGGAGCCATTAATAAAGTTCCTCCTCACTCCCAATATGGCGACCTGTATCCATGCTTTACCACTTAGCTCCTTATCCCCTCTTGTAGAAGGTATTCTCCACCTCCCTAGCTACAAATGTAACTCCTATGTGCTTCCATGTCACTTTATGGTTGCTGATGTAAACTTTGCTAATGTTCAGATCTGCCTGTCACTTCTTTCACCAACATTTTCCTTAAGTAGCAACTGTTAAGTGATTAGAAAGTTAGTATTGATCTGATTAATTAAAATTTTAAAAAGCGCTGGCTCCTTACCTGGAAATATGATTCATTATTGCTTGGAAGACCAATGCTAAAATTTGAAATTGCATTCGTGCCTGGGTTCAGGGATGATACTCCAAGAGCCAAATTCCGAGTTGTAATATTCACTCGTTGGGTGCTGTTTAGGTCTATCTTGAAGGCCAATTCATCAATTGTTTTTAAAGCTCTTAAAGGGATGACAATGATACTACTGTTAAGCAACACAATGTTTTCTATGCTTGAACACACTTCCCCTCAAGACACTGTCCCTCTCTTGGAGCACACTTATGCCACCATTCCTGCCACTCTCTAAAGAATGTCTGGAAGTCGTCTTTTGTGAGTGTCTTTATTTACACTGCTGCAGCTGCCTTAATGTCCTGAATCAGTTCAGAACATTTAGTGTTCACGGTTACCTTGACTTTGGGGGGAAAACAGAAGTCACATGGTGTTAGATCCAGTGAATAAGGTAGGTGAGGATATAACATAATATTTCTACAAGCCAGCCTCTCCATTAGATGGCACTTGGGACCTGCAATGGCCATATTTTGATCAGATCTCATGAAAACACTCATGAAGCAGACTGGAACTGCTTCAGAAAGTGGCAACAATGACAGGGTAAGTGTGTTTGAAGGTGGGGTGCGTGTGAGGGGGATTAATGGCACTATGCTTCTACTACAATAAATTTTTAAAAATATAAGCATGTATTTTGGTTACAATACATACATTTAAGGGATATGATATATTCATTTAAAAATGTGGTTGAAAAGAAGGAAACAGAAAACATAAATGGCTTACTGTTAATATGTTAAATACATATTAAATATACAAATTGCATTGTATAAAAATGTGTACATTTTCACCTGCCCTGTGCAATTCGTTTTAGAAGTACATATTACTGTGGCCGTCTGTGGCATAGCTCATATGATAGTTCACTTAAAATGACTGTGCTTTACATGTCCCTATACAATTCTTCTAACGATAAATATATTATGCTTTTGGGGGACTATACACATGACAACTCTAATTATTTTATAAATCATATTTCTCAAAAAAAATAGAACTTTGAAGTTCACTTTGTGAATGTCTTTGGGAATGATCTAGGCATTTTCCAGAAATTTGAATTATGACATTTGGGCACAGGGCACTCAAATAAGAAAGGAGTTATGTAAAAAAACACTTAGCCAATAAATTTTACCTTCCAGAAAAAGAAAAAAGAGATACTTACTCTGAAGAAGATTGAAGCAAGTCATTATCTGAACTGCTCAAGATATTAGAAAATATATTCATTAGAGTCGAGCCGAGTGTTATATCAATATTTTCTTCCTTATTCACAATTCTTTTGACCTGTTCTACAATGGTGTTAATATTGGCTGAAGTTAAGTTCTGCCCATCAGCAGTTAAATTTAAAATCTGATTGGCAACTTCATTTGCTTCCCCTAAAAAGGCAGAAGAAACAATACACATAGTTTTACCTGTGCATTTAAGTGCATTCAGGAATCCAAACCATAATGTGCTACTTAGAGCTGAACCAGGAAAATGGGGTTGCTGTGTGTACCTCCTATCTGCACAGGGTTACAGTATGTCCTTATACATAGAAAGTTCTCTCTTTGATAAGATACAAACTACTCAGAGAGATGGTGTCCACATATCATTCTAAAGAAGTGACCCCAGAATCAATGAATAAGTGTACATTTGCTATTTCCAAAATATCAAACTATACAATATTGATAAAATTAGCAATTTAATATTATTTCTAAGTCTTCTCTAGAATTTTCTTACTATTTTAATCTATAGAATCAATAAAACAGAAAGAATGAAAGCAGAAAGTATTTTGTAACTTAAATGAAACAATCATTTGCCTGATTTTTAATATTAAAATAGCAGATACATCGCATAGGATGAAAACTATGAATTCATTTCATTTCGTCTTTTAGAACTGAAGAGAAATTTCTTGCTTACTTGAACAGTTGGAGATATCAACGGGTCCCCAAAAGGCTAATGATGCGTTGCCGTAACTATAAAACAACAAAAAAGAGATTTCAAATACTTGGCCTAAGTGACAAAATTAATACATTTTAGGGCTTTCCTCAATACCTAGGTAAGTTTCACTTGAAAATAAAGCTGTAATACATTGAAATAAAACTTATACCAAAAATCGATGCTGGAAGAAAATCAATAGCCTATAACAAAGAAACAAAGCCCTGGCAATACCCTGTATCCTAGCCTGGATAATTGGTCAACTACAGCGCTCAGAAATTTACAGGTGCTATCTGATTTTGATTTCACATAATTCTGGAATGTAAATTATAATATACATCTTATAGATGAGGAAATGGACTTTGATAAGCCAAGGAATTTTCCAGTCTCCAGCCAGGAAGAGGTAGGGCCAATTTCAAATTCCAGTCCACAAATCTCTACTGCTCTTTTCTTTCCTCCCTACCAAGTGTCAAGCACAGCACTTGATGCAAAGTATGTACACTTGGGCAATTTCCCTGTCTGAATTCCCTCCAAGGAAACCCTGACTGGGAGTAGAGTGGGTGCTGAGAATTAGACTTGCTGTTCAGTCAGTCCCTGCAACTGTTTTTCCTCTGCTGTTTCTGTTGGACCTTCAGGGAAAATTTTCTAAACCCTGAAAGTGTCCATCGTGGACTGCCCCAAGTTTGACTTTGTTTTCATTCCCTGCTTGCTGCTCCTCTCCTCTTCAGATAGAAAGTTCTGGGATTCCAGGTGCGTATTCTGAGGCTGAAAGCTGGCTTATCCTTATACAAGTTGAGGTGCCCTGGACCCACGCTGCATCTCTAATTCTGTAATCTCTTTGCAGAGGGCTCATTTGGCAGAGTGCTGAGGAAAACACTGCTGGTCTGGGTAACCTACTTATCTTATCTCCACTTCCCAGAAGGGAAAGATTTAGACATACAGATGGTTGCCCTGCCTCCCAATCAGTACAATGCATGAGAACTACTGGCTGACAAAGTCAATGAAAGTTGTTACCATGTCCGTGAAACAGAGAAGCCTGGCTTGTCAGGACATGGGAGGCTTTGCTCAGACGGCGGGACAGCTGGCCAGTGAAAGCCTTTGGGCTCCTCTTCCGGAACACAGGTGCCTACGAGCAGAGAAGACCAACAGGGAAACAGTAGTCTATTCCTTCATAGTAACGGTGCAGCACAATGAAAATCTTTGATATTAGGCATGCATTTCATGTAATAATAAAATACCAGTGTTTCCTATGAAAAATTCAGATACTATGCATTTTATACGTATCAGGAATAAAAATGAGTACATCTTACAACATCACCCAATAAAAAGACACATGTACGTGAGCACATATAAACATGAAATGTAACATTTTTATCCGTATAAGTCATGAGCAGATATTGGTAAAGAAGCTTTATACCAAAAATAAACACTATAGAAAATTTTTTAAAAGTCTGAGAAATGAAAAATGGGATTTAATTCTTCTTAAAAGGGAAAAGCCTATAAAATATTGTGTTAATATTATCATCACTGAGTTGTGAGCATATTGTACAGAAATTTTTCTAGTACCTCCTGCCTAGAAGTGGGCAAATAGCAAGAAGGCTCCTACAATCCAAGACCACCTGTTTAGACTCACAGCTCCACCCCCACATCATCCTACTTCCTGTTAAGAAACATTATGAGCAATTTGTACAACATAAATGATTCAGATTCTGTATTTTAAGAAATATCAACAACTACAGCAATGTATAAACAACCATAATATAATCTTATATTTCAGAAGTGAACAAAAGCAAGTTATATAGGACTTCTGGGAACCAGTATTTTCATCGCCAACTGAAAATTTAAGTGACTTTCCCATCTGGAGCATGTCACACGTTAGCCTTATGTCATTTCCAAATGACAGAAAATTTTCTGCACACACCCATTTGCAGAAAATATAGACTTTAATTAAAATGCTATAAACTAATAGCCAGGTATGCAGAAAGAGTTGTCCTGGGGTTCATCAGCCCTTGAGGACAGATGGCACTGGTCCTCCCTAGGTCCCTGGGTCATCTATTGCCTGACTGTCATGTTGCTTCTTTGTGGAGACTTCTGCGTGAAAGGGCATCACTTGTGCTTTTACACCCTAAGAAGCCCTTTGTTAGGAAGAAAGTATTTTATTATCAATTATTTGCATTCATCAGTTCTCTGAGCTCTACTAATCGTGTGTACTGATGAAGGAGAGCTGGGGTGCCTCACAGAAGCCGCCTGGCCTCAGGCATGAGCCCCAGCTCAGAGCCTGCGGAGTCCCTGCTCTCCGCCTCAGCCTCCTGTGTGTACACTCAGGGCAGCACTGAAGCTTTTTCTCCTGACTTCTAAGAAAGCAGATAATTACAGATATATAATACACGTTAGAACAATTACCGTGCTGCACATATATCTGAACATTTGCTTTTTAAAAATATTCCCATCCAGATTCATTCATTCAGCAAGCAGTGAAATACTGGGGAATGTGTTGGGTCCTGGGCGCAGGTAGAAGTAAAGGCCTTAGAAAAATAAGATGTGATCTCACACTAAGAAGATTACAATTTAAAGAAAAGTTGAGAGCATAAATATGTGCAAGATCGTCTTTCCTCCCCCCTTGTGTTTTCCATGTTCCCCTTCCTCCTTTCCCTTCCATTCTTTCCTTTCCTTTTCCTGTCTTCATCTCCCTCCCCCCAGCCCTCCCTCCTTCTCTCCCTCCCTCCCTTCCCTTCCTGTATGTGTATTGTGTTTGCGGCACTGAATACTGAACGCAGGGTTTTCACACAGTGCTCCATTCCTAGTCCCTTTATTTTGAGACGGGGCCTTGCTAAGTTACTAAGTTTCCCAGGCTGGTTTCAAACTTGCAATCCTCTTGCCTCCACTTTGAAGAGATTCGTGGGCTTAACAGTGTGCGCCACTATGCCCTGCTCCCAGGACCATCGTTTTCCAGAGGGTATGAGGCCCAGGTACCTGACCTGGACAACAGGAAGCGGAAGCACAGAGTTGGTGATACGGATTTACATGGTGCCAAAGGTGACTTTGGGGTAGCTGGACAGTGAGGTAGAGAAGGGCAGGGTGGACCAAGCACACCGAGATACACAAGCTCCTGTTGGGAAGGGCAAGCAGTGCCACAGCTGGGGTTGGAGCTGAGGAAGAGAACTGTGTGGGAGAAGAGATGTGAGGGGCCTGGGGCTGTGTTGAGGTCCTAGGTTCCATTCCTGATACCAAAACCAAAGTGAAACAAAACAAAAAAAGAGAAGTGATTGGAGGTCCATGGTACCCTAGACATCTGGCCATTTCCTGAAAAGGCAGTGGGATTATTCATGCAGACAAGCAATACAAAAGAAGGAAATGTTTTACCATGAGAAATTGCCCTTTATAAGATTTTTTACTGGAGTATTCATGCAGACAAGCAATACAAAAGAAGGAAATGTTTTACCATGAGAAATTGCCCTTTATAAGATTTACTTTACTGGAGTTTTCATATCCACGCACACACACACACACACACTTTCTTTTAAGTCTCTAAAGTTGAAGCCAATAATGGTCACATTATTCTGGCATTTTCCTCAGATTCTTGGTAATTTCATAAAATATTCCTAAAATAAATATGAACTCTCATCTTCCTTCTCCATTCCCTTATATTCAAAATATGCGTGTTATATTTTGGTGTTATTATCACCCTTTTGCTACAGTATCTCCAACACAACAAATTTTATCATCAGGAAAAAATACATTTACATAGACAAATGACATAAAGAAAGAATATCTCTGTTGTTTGTTGTCCAGTTATAGCAGAATATGTAGTCATATAAAATGCATAGAGTAAAAAAAAAAATGGAAGTCACTTACCCAGCTGCCTCACATTCACAGTGTACAGCCTCAAGCCCACATCCAGGGAAGCGTTATTCTGTAAAAGCTTCTGCTGAATGGTTTTTCCTTCTAAGGGGACATCACCATCGGTAGCATTGTAAACTAGAAGGGCCCAAATCGCCAACCTAGAGGAACATTTCATATAGAATTGTCGTTGGAGATGTTGACTGGTTCCTTGCTTTTTGGTGGGAAAAATAGGCCACTTGAATCTGGAGGGTGACTATGAATTGTTGAGACTGACAAGATTAACCAAGGTGTTCTCGGACTTTCCCTGCTGCTGTATGAATTACAGTGCTAAAAATATCTCAGCATGAAAAGATTTGTATAAGATACTACATACATAACTACATGTATAACTTTATCAGATAAGCCTATTTGTTTTCAGAAATATTTTAATTTTTGATGTTGATAATATTCAATGTATTACATAATAATATATTCTAGTGTGCACATAAGACTGGGTTTTATTTGTTGTTAATTCACTGCTTGTTTATGGTAAGGAATAAAATTTTTTAAATATTAGAATTTTAATTGATAATTGACATTTGAAATTACTGTTACTGTTTAAAAATGTGGCAAAATTTCTCCAGAAGAGTGACAAATAATTTTCCATCTCTAAGAAGCATCTGGAAGTGTGTTGTATGGTAAAATTTATAAATAAACACTCAAAATTTGGTCTGTGATTGGTCAACATACTGCCAAAGACAATTTCAAGGTCTGGCTTTGAAGATACATAGAGATTAAAATCTCTATGTAAAGCAAAGAAATATATCTTAAAATCCTCGTCAAAACATTTTGTTATATAATTTAATGTTATTTTATGTTCAACTATAGCCATAGCTTAATCAACAGCAGAAATCAAAATTATTAATTCAGCACTGAGATAAAATTAAATGGCATTATCTTGTCAGGTAAGAGAGAAATTCTTTCCCTTGGGTGTGATATCTCTGGGTTTGCAGAAGAACTTTCATTTTGCTTCATGTTCGAGGAGAGATGAATAACATAACACAGGCATTGCATTATTGAGGCAGTTACTATCTGCATGCCAGAGACAAGGACAAAGCACGAAGCTACTTCATGGAGAGGCAGTGGCATATTTTATTTTTTAAATCCTATGATTATGAATCAAAATTGGAGTACTAATACATTTGCAGTGCTAAAATAATAAAGACTATGTTAAATATTTGTCATTCAAAGTTAGGTGAAATTAAGTAGAACTGCTTTTCCCCTTTTAAATACTTGTGGTATCTCAAGGACAAGTGCTGTGCTACTATTATAATTCACTCTGAAAAGCTATTTATCTTGAAAATGATCAGTGGCTAAATGTTCATATATAAACCATATTTCAGGATAAGGCAAAAATAGATATGAATACATTTGTGAACTGTGATATCTTGGTCATTTTTTAAATGGACTATGGAAAAGTATCCCTTTATTAAACTTTTGTTTGAAGATAGGCTTTGTCACTCTGGTTATTGAGAACTTAGAACTGGGTGTGTGATATTTTACTTCTCTTGAACATTGGGAACATCATTAGAAAAATGTATTACAGATGGCACTGCAAACCCAAGCTTAGCCATTCAAGAATAACCATGCACTTTCACGGGTCTTATCTGTGTTTTCCTTTCTCATCCTGAAAATTGAAACTATTTGATGGTTCTACAAAGTCAAGTTCTATCTGTTGATACCATCAGCCACTCTTTATTTGAATAAACCTGTCTCGGTGGCTTTAGTTTCCTGCCTGTCTAGGCTATAAGATATGATAGGATTACCTAAAGCTGTAACGACACAATCAGATTGAAAAGGAAAGTTTAGGGAAATGAACATGTGAAACTAGCAGTTTGGAGAAAAACAATGAGAGGTGTTCATCAATGAGCATAAAAGCAGTAGAGAATGGGAAAAAAAGGAGAGGCCGTAAAATAATTAAAACAATGCTCATAATTCATATAAGGGGGCTGAGAGATGTAACACGTGGGTGATTCCCAAATGAAGACTGGCCCCTTGTGAGAGAGTGTCCAGCAAAGGGTTCCAGGCTGCTGCTGGATCTACTATGGAAGGCTTAGTATCACAGTAGTGAGTCTGGAAAAGAAATCACTCAGCTAAGTAGAGAAGGCCTGTCATTTACAGTATTCAAATATGTTACTTTGTTTTTGGACCATAAGGGAAAGAAATAATGTCAGAAAATAAAAACAATTTTCCCTAATCAGGTGGCTTGATCTACTATATATATTATGACTTTCAATTTAAATTTAGAAAATTTTGTTTAATGTTAAGTAGAAAATAATACCGAGAGGTATCTCTGGTCAAATTTCAGATTAAATTTTTGTTTTTATCTTCTTGTAGTAGAACTATATTCCCTGAAACGAAGCTTATTCTTTCATCACATTTGTTTACTGAAGTTCAGCAAGATTTATGAGAACATTTGCTTTTCAACCCATTTAAAAATCTATACTAGGTATATACACTATATATATACATATGGATCTACTTATGTACATGCAATATCCTACCTGAATTCAACTACGTTTTTCCAGTTAGGAGTTAGGAATTCAGGTTATTTTCATTTTACAATAATCTGAACAGCTGCCCCTTACATTCCACCTGCTTTAGTATGCTGTATATATAAATTAAATTGCCTATATGAAGCTATTACTCTGATATAAATTTTAAAACGGAGAATTTAGAAAATCAGGTGATGGCTTTAAATGATCAACATTTTGTCATTATTATCCATATTATTAGATGCTGTCATACATAATAAAGTCTACGTAAAGGTTTTTTTTTGGTTTTTTTTTTTACAGTTCTACAGATTGTATTCAGGGCCTTGAATTCAGGCAAGCACTCTAAAATCCTAGCTCTAATGTTATTTCTTGAAGTTATATTGGAACTTCAAATAGAAGGTAATGGTTATGTAAAGTAAACTGTAAATACCAAGAGAAATAATTCATAGTTGCTACATGCTCTACTTCGGAATTAGTTTTTCACTAAGCTTATGCTTCTACTCAGTCTGTTTTATTAGGGTTTTTAAAAACCAGAAAAAATAATATGCATTAGCCTTAAACAAGTCATTCAAATGTTCTAGGTGATTAAATTTTTCACTCCTATATCATTGTTTTTATTTCCCTACCAGATTGTCAAAGCAGTGGGCAAGAAAAAGAATGTCATACTTTTAGATGATTTTGCTAGTGTTACCTTTGATCATCCACAATGCTTCTCTTGACTTTAATCTTGTCCTCTCCAGTGCTCAGGTGAAAGCTACAAATATAAATACATATATTCAATGACACCTTTGTGTACTGAATTATGAAGAAAACTAAAAGAGGTAAGAGATAGGGCAGACTGGAAATCATAGGCCACTATTCCCAAATGTGTGTTCTGAGGTTCCTGATTCCCTCACAAGCCCAGGCAACTGTATGTTTTTGCTTCCTTTTGAGGACTAACAGTGCATACCAGTAGGATAAAGAATGCGAGAAGTCCCTAGAAACAAGCTGCTTTAGTTTGCTGAATAACGTACTTCCTTAACTTGCCAACTGATCCCTTTCCTTTTTCTTTTCTTTTCTTTTTTTTTTTGGGGGGGGGAGTTGGTGGGTATTGGGGATCAAACTCAGGACCTTGTGCTTGCAAGGCAGGCAACAGCACCACCACTGAGCTAAATCCCTGGCCCTCCCTTTTCTGTTATTACTTCACAGAATAGGTGGTTACTCATCATGAAAAACACTTTAAAAACTATTTTCACTATAAAACTAAAAACAAGGTACAGACACAAAAGGTACAGTACTGGAAATACTGGTTTCTGGGGATTTAGTGGCAAGTTTAAGTAGTATAAATTAATTTTGAAAAGCCAGGTTGCAAACAGACTGTAGACATCCTACTGTGTAGAAAAAGTGGTCTTGAAACTGAAGCACACACAATCCTCGGTGTATGGTGGGCCCACAGTGATGTGAGAAAAAAACCAACAGAACTTTTTTACATTTCATTATCCTCTAATTTTTTGATACACTACAACATATACTGATTCAGTTATACATAAGCACACACACAGTTTATTTCTGGTACATTATACAGAGACAGTAACATTAAAAAGACACTACTTTTTATTTAAAATAATTCATTCTGTCACTTACCTGATATTAACCACATAAACAGTGTAGTTCCAATTCTGGAAAGTTGAATTGAGCTGAAAACCATAATGGAAAAAGGTAAGATTTTTCCTCCCAAATGTAAGTTTGTCTCAGGGATAAAACCTCAGGGAAATCTTGGCAAACCAGTGCAATGAGAGATAAAGTAAGCAGATACTGAAGCACTGTTTACTAAGAACCTGATAAATGTTATTTTTTTCAATCCTTACAGCAGTCAATAAGGTAAGTATCACTCCCTAACTCCACTGCCTTATCTATGAAAAAAAATAGAGATCCACAGATATTAAATAGCTTGTCAGTCACCCAACTATTAGTTAATCTAATAATCTGGCAGAGTCTACAGTGGAACTCAAGTCTGTCTGTTTGAAAACTCTCCAATTTCCTCTACAGGTCATATTATAATAAAATTAGCAAAATGAATGCCTTCCTTATTCTTTATTTATTTGGTACCGGGGATCGAACTCCGGCCCTTGCATTTGCAAGGCCGGCAGAGGAACCAGAGTCAAATCCCTGGCCCGTTATTCTTTATTTAACAAATACCGAGATACAACAAAACACATTTTGTAGAAATTAGCACCTCAAAAATAACTAGTAATAAAAATATAAATTAACAACTTACATCTTTAAAAACAGGTGCAAAATGAGTTCAACACTACTGGAAATGTTAATTTCTTGTAGTTATTCAACAATTTTTACGGGTCTCCCTACCAGATTTCTTAATGAAGCAGTAAATTCTTCTTCAATATAAATAATAAATTTTCCTAATATAGGGTCTGTTACAATTGCAAAATAGGATTTCTTCACTGATGTGAGAGTTGCCTGTTTTTATAACAACTCCACAGGTTTTCTAGGTCTTGTTTCACACCAGTGTTCAGCTTTCCTCCCAAGCATTTGCTACAGTTTGCGTCTGGAATCTCTCCCAAGAGCCCCCATGCTAAGCCTGTAGTGCTATTGGAAAGTGGTGGAAACTCATAGAGGAAATTAGCTCACTGGGAATGTGTCTTGAGGGACACTGGGACTCCTGTCTCTCTCTGCTTCCCAGTGGCTGTGAAGGGAACAGGTTTCTTTTGCCACACGCCTGTTAGCATGGACTAGGCCACCACAGGTCCAAATGGCCAAGTGTGCATGGAATGAAATCTCTGAAACTATGAGCTAAACTAAATCTCTCCTCTTTCTCAGTTGATGATTTCAGGTCCTTTGTCACCGCGATGGAAAGCTAAATGTAAATGTTAGGAGATGCTTCTAAAGGGGAGGTTAAGTTCTTTTTAAATTATGAATAATAATGCAGGTTTAATTTCTCTTGTCTGAAATGCTTGGGGCCAGAAGTACTTCAAATTTCAGATTCTTTTAATTTTGAAGTATCTTCATAGATTTTACTGGTTGAGCATCCTTCATTTGGAAGTTAAAAGGGAAAGAAGCATTTCAGATTTAAAATTCATGGGTTAGGGATGCCCAACTGTCATATGTGCAGTCTGTAATATGCAAAAAGACACAACTTAAATAATCCTTTTTATCAAGTGTCTGCATGGATAGCTTGCATCTTAAATGAAAAGTATCCGAGGAAGTTTAGCTTCAGATGAGAATGATACTGTGTTGTAAACAGTACAAAGACATAAACATAAAATTCTATCTTGTCTAGCAAAGAATTCTAGGGATACTAACTTTTAAGATTAATAACATCACCGTCTTGAGAATAAAATTAAACAGACTTTGACATAGTTCTGACTTCAAAGAACAATACTGAAAAAAAAAAAGGGATCCAAAAAGGCATTGGTTCTGTGAAGCTTGCTTTCCACTTAAGAATTAAATGTATCTCAGTATTACATAACATTTTTTAAAAAGTCAGTTGTAATCTATTTCCTTTAAGACTATTAGAGAATTTTATTTTCCCCATTAATTTTGTAACAGAAGCACTAATTGCATGCTCTTGTTTCTAAGGTCAACTTGTTTTTTAAAATATTACTTTTAAAAAAGATTTAAAAGATTATGTTTTCTCATCAGGACACATTTATCAAACACATACAACATAAGGAAATTCACTTTTCTTACTGCAGAATATATACACTAGAGACTATTCACACAAAAAGCTGATGTTTTAACTGTACTAAGATCTGTCTATTCTGGTATTTTCTATGAAAAAGTACAAAACCTCATAGACTAGAAATATGAGAAACATAAAATTTTTGAGATTGGTGTAAAAAAAAGAAAACAAAAAAAAATCCACAGGTTGTATTCCATAAGGGAAAAGTGTTAAAATTTTTAAATTAGAAAATATCATAAAGTTCAACAACAGGATACTGGTTAAATAAATTATAACCTAAATGTCCACTGACAAAAGATTCATTAAATAAATGCCTAGACAACCACATGATGAAACGCTGCACTGTCCAAAACAAACAAACAAACAAACAAAAGGTAAGTTTCTCCTGTTCTAAGGTTGCAAATCTGGCAACAACAAATTAATTACAAGGTTAGAACTGGCATATAAAATATATTCGTTTTAATGTAAAAAGGAAGAAAATAAGAATCTGTGTATTTTCTTTTATGCACAGAAAATAGTTCTGAAGAAACAGATTCCAAGCAGATATGCTGATTTCCAGATACACGAGTGGCAAGGCTGAGCAGAAGACTTCATGAGAATTTTTTCTTCTTTGGGTTTTGGTCCTACATCCAAACAACAATAGTAAACACATACTTTAAAACATAACTTTACAATATAAGGACTTTTTTTGGACGGACTTTATAGTAATGAAAACTATTTCTATTTGTGTGATGATTTTCTTACTAGTCTCAGTTTTGTATTCTTTACTCTAATGTACTCTTTTATGCACTCACACCATTACCTTGCACATTATGTATCTACACAGACACCAAAAGGAATAGCTGCTGCACCTTAGTATGATCTATAGATTCAATTACCCAGAATCTCTTTCAGATTCCAGAAGGGAAAGGTTTAAAACAAACAACCCAAAGGGGGGGGGGTGAAGGGAGGGCAAGGACAAGGGGAAAAAATGAGAACCAAGACCTGTCATGTAAAGGTACAAGATCTCAACAATGAATGTAACTGTCCTGTATACCTAAAATGTACCCATAAACGCAATGAGGAAAAAAAATAAAATAAAACAAACAACCCAAAAAGCAACTGTAAAAGTTCACTTACCCATTCTGCCACCTTGCTCTGTACTTTGGCCTCAGGGTGATGCAGGATATTTTGAATCACTACGGATATTCTATACATAATTCCATCTGCCCATTGGAAATAGGATTAATCCATGAATTATGTTTTATAGTCATATCAAACAATAAATTCATAACCACATAATTCCATGCAGGTGAAGTGAAACTTTTTATAGAAGCCTAGAACATTTCCGGGCTGATTTAATGTTAAATTTTTTGACCTTTGTAACTTTTTAGAAACAGCTGCTAATTGGTTTACTTTTATAATTTGCTGCTCCTAAAATATCATTTGCATATGACCTCTGTAATATATGATTCTTCAGATTTCCGATATGAACCATCCATAAAGTGTCAATTTTTCCATGTGCAGTTGGATCTCTTACAATAGGAAGGAATGCTTGTTTACCATTATAAATATGATGAAGAATTCAGGATGAAGGGCTGAGGGAGAGGATGGCAAGGGGGTACTGAGAAGGGAAGGCGGGTACCGCCCTCCAAACTTCTGCCTTCTTCTCTTCCCAGCAAAAACATTTACTTCTACTAAACTACTTAGTTAGGCTTCACCAGATATTTTTCATTAAAATTTATACCAAAATAGGAAGAAAAAAACCCTTGAATATTTGCAGGTACATTTAAACAGGACTGTGAACAGAGGTTCTATTTTATTTGAGGAAGGGAAGGCAATCGTTAGTTTGATTTTGTTTTCCCCTCGAAAAATACACTGACCAGCAAGGGTTTGCTAAATCCCTCCAGCTGCGAGCTATCAGGCCTTTTACTCAAAGTAGCTAGATCAGAAAAATACACTCAAACTACCTTGGTTAAAGAGAGAAGAAAATGTATTATCTATTATTGGCAATTATCTTTCTTCAAACAGTGTTTAAGTGAAGTAAAATATGCATAAAAGATATAGAAATATAAATTAAAATAATGTTGAGGAATGTATTTAAAGAAAATTGTGAGGAAGCAATGGGGAAAAATACAAAAGTAAGCCTCCGGAAACTCCCAAATATACTAAAATGCAAATTCCAGTCCCACTACTAAAGGAATGTCTTTCCACTAAAGGAATCAGTCTCATGCCAAATGACAGAAGTGGCCATTTTCAAATACAGTAATACAAATTCCTGAAACTGGTGTAATTCCAAAGACAGGTGAATTTAATTTATGCAGACCAGGTTATTTCAAATTCTAAATCTCTTCGGGCACTTTAATCATCTTGACTTTATATTCCTTTTTGAATGAACAATAGAGGAACATATAACACAAATGGTAATTCGAACAACAAAAAAAATCTCTTATCCTGTGGATCTCATCATATCAAGTCACGGGACTTCTGAAAGACCGAGAGGAAGCTCAAGAAGGGAGGCCCAAGAGATCCCAAGGGTCTTCAGGAACCAGTTTAGGGCTCTGCAGGATGTTCATCGATTCCAGCAGAGTATCTGAAAACCTACCACTAGATGGAGTCCTAAAGCGCAATTTTTATTTAAAGAGGAGTATTGGTTCTCTTTGAGGGGGGAAAAAAAATTAAAAATCAGTAGTCGAAACCCCTGAAATTTTATTTAAGACAGTTTATAGATACTTAAGATAGTTTCTTTGTATTTTACATTTTTCCTGCCCTCTTTTTTCAGCTGATTGTTTTTATAAATGAGAGAGACATCCAATATCAGAGACAAACTTGGGAGCATTCTCTCTAGGATGATGCTGCTTATAGCTGATAAAATGTCAATATTCCAGATCATCGACATCTTATGTTACAGATTCACCTGTTCTGTGTGTAATTACGAAGTAATCTTTTCCTAGAGGCCTCAGAATTATATCATATTTCAAACAATTAGCCAAACACTACTCAGCAGAGCCTACTTCTTAGTTATTTTAAGTTAGTAATGAGGTCAATAAACAATCTTGAGATGTGTCCAAGAGTAAACCAGCAAAAAAAGGATAAAATGTCCAGTGAGGAGCTGCTGAAAAGAGTTTGGATTGCAGCAAACTAATTTAAGGTTTAAACGCTGCCTTTGGAGGAAACGCAGTGAAGACCCACAGAAGCAAGCTCTTCCCTGTTATCAGGGCAGAACAAGTTTTCTGTAGACATGGAAACCTCTGTGGTGTCTCAGTAAGAACTACCCATAAAATCATGAGTTCCAGAGACTTCAAGAGATATATGGACGGGGCCAGGATTTAGCTCAGTGGCACCATGCCTGCCTCACAAATGCAAGGACCTAAGTTCAATCCCCAGTACCAGAAGAAAAAGAAGAGAGAGAGAGAGAGAGAGAGAGAGAGAGAGAGAGAGAGAGAGACAGAGAGACAGAGACTGTCCTTGTAATAACATTCAGGTCAAAAGAACATTTGGTAGACGTTTCCTGAAATAAGTATTTAAGAATATATTATCTTTCCAATTGGATAATTCTTCCAGTCACAGAACATCAGAGTAGAATCACTGCCTGGTGTTACAGATGTGATGTCAAAACAGTTTTCCTTTCTCTAGGTGTCTTGCCAATGAATCTTTTTTTTTAACTTTCTTACCACTCTTTTCAGTTTCTTGGAGGATTTAGAAATGACACTATGGTATCTTCAAGGGTGTGAAATGCAGGTTTGAAATGATGGGTATCTTTTGAAATACAAACTGAGTGTTACTGTAGGGTTGAGATTATTTCTTTGACTTGGCTAGGCAATGAGGACACGACAGTAGATGGCCTGTGTCACCAACACACACTATTTCCTTAAATTATCTGGCATACAGAGCCCTAGTGACTGCTAGACCCACACAAATATCCTGGGAGTCCATTTGGTATTGGAATAGCTAAACATGCATGAGAATCAAGGAGGAACATTACAACTGGTACCTGCAAACTACAGCTTTAGAACAGTAATAAGAACTAATGTCATTAATTCCTTATGTGGATTGACTGTGCCAACTTCATAAAAGCTTACTATCTAGTGGCACAAGGATGTTGTTCCAAGCACAGAAGATATTATTTGGAATGAAATAATAATTAGTCCAGGAACTTTCTTGGGAATGTCATGGAAAAGGCACATAAGTTCATGATTTGTGGGAATGGTTAGATTATCCACGACATCCTGAAATATCTGTTCATGAAGAACAGCCTAAAAGATAAGACTCTCTTTATATAACTGTGGCTATCAGATGAAAGGAGTTTTACATAGAAAAATGGTCGTATTATACAAAAGCTATGAAAACAAATTTCATTGATAAAATAAGGAAATACACAACAATCTCAGTCCCTCTCCTGTCCCTTCACTGACAGACTGTAATTGATGAAATCAGTAAAACTCTGAAAGCTCAGAGCTAAAAGGACAGGATAAGGAAGATAATGTGTTTGTCAGCTGTTAACTTTCTCATGTGCTCCAAGTATAATTTTATAATATATCAGATTGTGAGCCTGATAATGTTTACTATATCAGTTTCCGAAAGCATAAGAAAGTGTTGATGATATGTAAATGATCTTAGATAGTCCAGGACAGGACATTAAATGTCACTTATTCACAAAGAAAAAAAAAAGTAATTCTCTTTATGATTATTTCAAATTTGCTTACATCAATAAAAATTAAAATTCTTATTTTAGTATCATTCATCTCTGGCATTTCTTTTAAAAAAGATAACAGGATCATTCAATTCTGTGATGTGAAAAGCTAAGGAAATACACAGAGAATTCAGAAATATTATTTACATTATACTTATTTGCACATTATATTCTTTTCATTTCTATTTTACAGCAAGTAAAAAGTTCATTTTACAATAAAGAATTTAATTTCCCCAAATAAATACAAATATGAGTAAAAAAAAAGTGAGTCAATTTAGAAAAAGACAAAGTAAAAACAATAGGGGATTCGAGGATATGGTACAAATCATGCACAAATTTGAACACGTAATTATGAGTTTATGTTTATCACAGGAGTTTTGAATATTTTTAAACGCTAAGATTATATTTTGATCAAAATCATCTGAATTAAATTCTTTTTCATTAAGTGGTCAACACAGACCATCTGAGCTGATTCTAACATTTGCTTGCTTTGTTGAAACCCCAAAGAAGGTCATGACGCAGAAAGAGATGGACTGAACAAGGCTCCCTTCAAGAATGTTAGAAATGACATGACTGAGTGAACACAGCCCTACTCTACCAAGTCGAGGACTCTCAAGCACCATATTAATGTTCTTGGGCCGTAGAGGGTATGCCAGTCTTGGAGGACAAACACCACAGAGGCTCTTTGTATGTTCACACAAAGAGTGAAATACTTAGAATTATAATATTCCCATCTGCTGGCAGGAGTCCATGTGAAATATGCACTGGAAACTTCAGCTGCTGCTGCTTTCTTGGAGGTTGCTGGAATTTTTGTTCCATCATAAATCTCCTTGGTGTAACTAGCAGAATAACCATAAACACTTCCCTGAATTGATGGCTTTATAAGCCTAACGAAACTTATATCTATGTTTCATGTAAAATATTCCATATTTCCAATTTGAATGTCCTTACAGAGGAAGTTGATGTAACCCTTGAAGCCGAAAGAAAAAATGAACTATGTGAGTTTCTCTTCTCTCAGTTTTGGATTCCTGGTGATATAATACAGATGTCTTGGACTCACGAGCTAAAGGACTGAGGTTTCCACTATCTCATATTTCAGAATATCACTGTATTTTAAGGCAATGGTGTGTCACCTAATTGGAATTTCTCTTTATCACTAACTAAAATCACTAGCTCTAAATTTTCAAAAGATTGTGTGAGTAATCCATGTGGGTAGCAGATTAAATAAGAATTCAATTCACCTGGTTTTTCCTCTGCTCATTTCTTAACTTTATATAACTACTGCATTTGCAAATTAGACCTAATATTAAAGGGAAATTACTGGAAGTGACTTGAATTTTATTAAACCAAAACTGATTGGGGCTGGGAGTACAGTTTAGTGGTAGGGCATTTGTCTACAATGTTTAGGTGCTAGCACTGCCAAGAAAAGATATGATTTAACTATAATAATATTCTAACCATTATTCTTCTTCAACAAAAACAAACCATTTAAATGTCACTAATATTTCAATATAAAGTTAACATCCATGAAAAATTAAACTACTAAATTTAGTTTTTTGAAATTATAAAATCCTTTGAAAAAACCAGTTTCCCTGAATAGAATAATCTGGAAATATATAATATACTGTAGAAAGAACAGGGTTTCTTTATCAGTTCTCTATTGTAATGGAAATTATTTCCTTTAAGCTTAATATCTTTCTCTTAAAACTTCCTTTGAAAGACTCTTTCGCTAAAAGTGCAGATCAAAACTACTGAAAATATATTAATTCCTCTGGTCATTACAAATGTGAATGTATACACATGATACTTATTTATTAGCTTTGTAACAATACAAATGCACCAATTTACCTTCAAAAACAGAAATGTTGCTGGAACATTAGACATTTGCAACCTTAGAATACAACTTTTTATTATGTTACACATATCACAAATAGAAAAGTAATGATTTCTTACCATTCTTTTGTTTATCGATTCTATTAGTAACAGGCATGTTAGTGGTGACAGTGGGTGGTGTAGTACTAGTAGAGCTTACAGTTGCTGGCAACAAAGATGAGAAAGATGTCATTTTGCAAGGAGCACATGACAGTTAATATGGATAAGCAATTTATAATTAATGCATGGAAATACATAGAGGAGGCATGGAAACTATTTCTTGCTACTAATTACAAAGAACTCCGAGGTTATAATATGTAAAATGAAGCACTGCTTTCCGTGGCACACTGAGAATCAATTCCCATAGTCATTAGTGCCAAACAGCATGAGGGTCTGCAACTGGCACAAAGTGACTGAACAAAGGATATTTCGATTCTAGACCCTAACTCTGCCAGGAGAAAGTTGCCAATCAGACAGAAAATCACTAAACCTTTGCAAAACTCATTTCCTGCATTTGAAAAAGAGAAAGTTAAAGGAGGTTGTCTGAATATAGACCTAAACCTTGGATATTATCTAAATTAAACCAGTTTGCTTGATCCACTAAAATTAGAGAAATTAAGTCTCAGAAGAAAATAAATGTAAGGAAAAACAAGGGAATGAATGTATCGACTAAATCAGTCATTTAAAGATCCCAATAATTTCACTAGACATTGATGGATAAAAATTATTCCACAAGAACAACCATTATAGGAGAGATATTTTCAATGTATTAAGACATAGTTACGTTTTCGATACTTCAAAAATTCTCAAAGACCAAACCCTTATGAATTATTTTTAAAATTCTAAGGGATTGGAAAAATCTATGTAAGAAGTAAAAAAAAATATATTTTTTCTCTAGTTCATCTTATTAAGACATTTATATAAGATGTACATTTATATATACAATTATGATGTTATTCATTTCCTTCAATTAAAAGGTTACTTAAACAGTATATTTGAGTGATTACACAAAGAATTACCTTTATAAAGCTCGTTTTAAAACACTGAATTTCTGGGTATAAAATATACATTCATTGATAAATAATTTTCCATTCCAACGCACATACAGTACTTAAAAATGGGAATTGTTTTTTAAGACTTTTTAGAAAAGTTCTTTTATGAACAATGTTACGTTTATCTTAATGCAAAACACATTACGAATTTTAGTCATTTGGGACAGAAGGGGAAAAAACGAAGAAAAAGCTGGGTATCTGGTTCTTTGACTCAAAGAATAAATATTGTAGATATCTCAGATTTAATCATTTTAAAATTTTAAAATAATATTTTTAAAAAGTTTTCAGATCTTGAAAGAAACGAAATTAAGCATTTCTGGCCTGCATCATACAGCTATATTAAAACAAAGAGTTCATATAAAGAAACTACTTAATTTTAGTAGGGTATTCATTGATAATAATATCTGAGCAATGTCTAAGGAAGAAAAAGACAAAGAGATTCCCCTTCCCCTCATTTCCTGCTCCCACACTCGAATGGTACAAAAGGGGAGATAAGTTTCTATTTATTTGATCTCACATCTAACTCTATCAGCTTTGTGCCATGATCCTCTAAATAAGAGATCCAGCTTTTAGGAAAGTTAGGGTCATGATTCTCATGTGACACATAGCATATGCTACTTCAAACAGAAGTATCTAACAGAACAAACTAGTGAAAAGGGACCATGGGTGATTAGGAGGTGCAACGATAAATATGAAAGCAACACATCTATATTTTTATCTTAAAACTTCTATGACTATGTATTATTTAGAATGCAGTTATTTAGTAAACAATAGATAACTGAGTATTTACCATGATATAGTTATTAAGTAAAATTCTTAGCATAGTTATCTTAACATTAGCTTAGTATAACCATTTTATCTGAAGACTTAAAAATTATAGATATACATTTATATTAAGTTATCATAAGCTGCCCTTTTCTTAAACTTAACTAAATATTCAATTTATTTTTCCGTTTGTTTTATAGACACAAATACTCCTTCAAAATATTGGACCTTCGCAACATTCTTGAGAAGAAACAGAAGAAGGAAACCAAAATAATTCCTTGTTTAATAACATAATCACTCATTCACATTTTCAAAAACTGGGTGCTTGATGCAGTCATCCAGTGTGTGAATGCATTCTTTCTTTACACGGTGCACTCACACAACTAAAAGCCAGAAAGTCTTCTGTTTTGCTGGGCTTTGACTTTCCAAGTGCAAATTAAGATAAACATCAAAGCAATGATAACTACATCTCTCAACACAGCAAGAAGGCAGAGAAAAGACTGCAGAGGGTGGTACTGGCTCCCTACCTTGACAGAGGGTCCCCAGTTCTGCACAGTTGGCTAGTTCTGCTGCCGGCAGCGGGACCAGGTAGGAACCTTGAACAACACAGAGGGAAGGCACAAGTTTGATTTGTGATTTATTGGTATCACCCAAAAAGAAACATCATAAATCATATGGCTGATGGAGCAGGAACAGCCCCAGGAAAGCCCACCAATGATATCCAACATCAGCAGTCTCTGAGGGTTACTGTGTCTTACCTTTCTCAAGTGTAAAATCAAGATACACTTACGTTGCTCTCAAAGTCTTGACCTGATTTTAGCAGATGGCCATGCGTGAAACGAAAATAAATGCTACTGGCCCTCAAAGTTTGTGTGAAAAGTGCATGGCTCTTTGGCATAATTAATTGGAAGGCTCTTGTGGAAATTCATACAAATGAAATAATACAGACATCAAAGAGAAGTTTCAAAGTGCACTTGGGTACTATGAGTCATTCCCAAAATGTGTATTTTTGGTTCATGGACACTAGCACAGTTCTGCTATTTGCAATTACAGAAATATATTTTTGTGACTTCAAGTCAGTCTTGTTTCTTTTTTTATTTCAAGTTTTTCACTTGAAATAAAAAAAAAATTCCTTAGGAAACAAGTTTCAAAATTTTCTGTAGAAGCAGATTTTCTCTGTTGTAGTAAATCTTTCAATTAAGATTTTCACCAGCAGGTTGATGGGCTAAACTTACTAACAGCATAGTGGATTTTATAGAGAAACAAGAGTAAGTAAAATATATATACAACATATGTGTGTGTAAATAAATATAAAGATATATAAAATACATATATATTTAATATTTAAACAACATTTATACGACTGTGATTTCATTCTAATGTTTAAACTTTCCCCCAATATTCCCACGGGAAAATCCAGGGCAGGTGCATGAGCTCACAAAACATGTCTAATTAGGTAAACGGTGTACATAGGAGAAAACATCCCAACAGTTTAACATCATCTCAAGAGACTGTTTCTACATTCCTGATCACCTTGGGCACCAGACTTCTGGATGTTAATGCAACCAGTGTTGACTCATTGCCTATGATATGTGGCAAGAACAATGGCACGAGCAATGCCTCATGTGACATGGCTATTCTCAGAGAGGAATGAGCATAAGCCGGCTTCACCACTCTAAGTGCTAAGGAAAGTGCAATGATTGTGGTAGTCATCCAAAGGAGGGTGTGACAGCAACTTATTGAGAAGAGCGAATAGGAAAATCATTACAAAGGAGTCCCGGGAGGCATATGAGATTTTAAGAGATCTGGGGCTAGCAGAAAGAATTTCTTGAACAAAAACTAAGGGGAGCTAAAGAGGTCTGGTAACTCACGTAGCTTGACACTGGAAACCACAGGAAGATCAGATATGTAAGTCATCAGCAGTTTGTAGAGGACCTTGTAACATGCAAACACCATGAGCATCAAGACCCTATGTCTTCCTCCCAATGAATGACCCCACACTCAGTAGGTATGTGCTCAAGATTTACTGAATAAGTTACCAAATGCATTATTAATGACTACTAAAATTCAAAACTCTTTCTTAAAGGCAATGTGAAAATAAGCAAAAGGGGGTAGGTGAGAAAGTTAGATCTAAATTTGCCAACAATCATTTTTGAGGTTCTAAAACCAAAAGAGGGAGGTTTAAGAAGCAGGAGTAATACTAGTAATTAGGATTTTACAACATGAGTACAATGAGGATGGACAGGAAGAAATGGGTAGAAGAAATCTGAAAATAAGAATTATATGATGTAACTACTTATAGGAATAAAAATGGTAGAGCTGTTGGTATGTAATGATCTCACAAAAGGATATAGGACATGAGGAGTGAAAATTTAGATGAGCAGGATAAAAGTCTAGTAATAGAAAGAAGTGCCTCTCTGTCATCAGGATACAATGGAAGTTTTACGTGCTTTGTAAGAGGTCTACCCTACAAGCTATTGGTGTGTCTGGGATCTCCAGAGCCTGGGTCATGATTTTAGAACTGAACACAGCCATAGATATTCCTAAATTTAGGTTTTGGAAGTACAGATTTCAGCAGGTAAAAACAGCTTTTGTAGAAGTTGATTTCACAGAATTACACTGAAGAAAGTTTAATGAAGAATGTGGCAATATCAGGTAAACAAAAAAGTTAAGAGTGACAAAGACTGAGAAGACCTTTAAATCTGCATTGGACTTTTAAAGAGTTTCTATTAGTGCACGTTTGGAGTACATGATGCTTACACTTAACCTTAGAGAGTGGGTACCTGTACTTCACATAGCTTGATTCTTTTAACTCCTTTTCCCTGCTTACCCTCTTCCATCACTATGTCTCTAGAGCCCTTTTCCCTATTTTCATCATCATCATTATTGTTTAGCTCATGTTCATGACATATAAAGATTATATTTACTGTGGATAGCCGATAAACAAACAAAGCACATCCTAAACCTTTATATGTCCCCTTCACCAACCTTCCGTCTGTTGGTCCGATCCCATCTGCAAAAAATCTCTCTCTGTTGCCTTCATCAGTTTTATATTTGTTTGTGCTTTGGATTAATCAAATGAGAGAAACCAAATTTAAGCTTGTATATCTGATTTATCTTATTTAACATTATGCTTTTACGGTGCCTACACCTTGAATGCATTGGACTTCTGATATGACACCAAAGAAATTAGTTTCAGTTGCATGGGAATGATGAAATCTAGACTGCCAACATTTGAGGAGTGAACACAAGAAGAGGAAGCCTGGCTTTAGAAGGAAGCAGAGATAGGAAGGGGGGTTTTAAAGACTGAAAACTTAGTGTACTCTGGACAAAGAGCATGTGCAGAAGAGGCAGAAGCTGAGACAGCATAAAGGAGGAATTTTATTTTGAAAGCTTTGTGCCCTTTATTCCTTCCCATCCCAACGTAGACCCACATTTCCAGGACCTTCCTTCTTCTATAGGCACTGCTATTTAGAGATTTCTGAAAACTAAAAAGCCTTTAAGCCCCAGTGGCCAATGACATCTCAGTCACTATAGGAGGCAACAGAGGAGGACCTCGGATAGAGTTCCTGTTGTTCTCAAGTTACACACAATTTGGCAGTCAAAGGCTCTTTTAGGCCGCTTCTGGAACTGATACAGTATCACTGGAAGACAAAGAGAGATAAGGGGGCAATGATGTGGGAAACAAGTCCTTTGGATAACCACATTTCCACTGGAGTGAGAAGGCTAAAGAGTTTAGACGTGGAAATAAGGAAAGAAAATCAGAAGAGCTATGACTTAGAACAAGATCTTTGACAATTTTCTTGAACATTTTTATCAGATATTATGGAGTAAGAAGTATAAATATTAGTATATAGCATGGGAAATTGTAACATTTGTTTCTCAATATTTTGATGAGTTGTACTTTCTGGGGAACTTCTAGTTTAGCATAATGATATTTCTTTAAAAATAATGAACTGATGATCCTATCAAGCAATGTCAAGTTGAGGGCTGCTTTAGTGAAAATGTTATAAAAACAAGTGACAAATTTAACTGGAAGGAAAACTGATAAATGAAACCTTATATTACAAATATACCAAACTATGGAAAGAAATACATGAAATATAAAAAATTATAAACAGCCAGGCGTGCTGGTGCATACCTATAAACCCAGCTACTCGGCGGGGTGGAGTCTGAGAACTGCTTGAGCCCAGGAATCCACAGCCTGCCTGGACAAGCCAGTGAGACCCACCCCAAAAGCTGCATATAGGTTACTTATGCATCTTTTTCTTTCTTCCCAGTTCCAATTTCAGCACATCTGTATAAAAAAGACAATGTCACAACTGATTGTCTCAGGTTGACAGATTTATAAATGTGGACAACAGGAGAAGAGAAAATTCTCCCTCGAGGATACAATAATATTTACCCCTAACTGTTTTTTGAATGTGATCTGTGAATGTCCCCTGATTTTTTGAGGCTACTCGACGGTCTTTAAAGGTATTTACTTAATGGCGAAAGTTGGACTCAAATTTTCTTGAAAGAAATGTAATCACTGAAAATGGGCAGTAGGTGAAAAAGCTACACACCTCTAATCTTTCTTCTCTATCTTGTTCTCCCCAAGCCATGCTGCTTAAATGAGTCACTAGATATTTACACAATTTGGGTAAAACAACTTGAGGAGCCAACAGATACTCTCACCCACCCCTTCATAAACCAAATAATGGAGTAAATCCTAACAGTAAGCTGCACTAAGCAAAATTAAAAAAGAAAATCTTACATATTTTCTGTGCAGTTGTTAGTAAGATTAATTTTATAACTTTTCATAAATAAATAATTTAAAATACAATTATCTGGAAATCTACTCTCAAAAAGTTCGAATATCCTCAAAGAATAAAGTCCTTTATAAAGTGATTTTATCTTAATTTTATTTAAACATGATTTTATGACCTAAAAATGCCAAACTCAATAATTTGCTAGGGGCAGAAGGATGAAGCCAATACTGAATTAGAACTTTACAACTGTGATGGACAAAACTGTAACAACTGTTAAACGGTGGGAATCCCAAAGTTGATAAAGTTAGCAACTAGGTAGAAAATTATGGAGATGAAAACACAAGTCTGTAAAAATTCAGATTATTTCCAGAAAAGAAGGACAGTAAATTTGGGTACTTATTGCTTTTTTTTTTTGTACTGGGGATCGAACTCTGGCCCTTGTGCTTGTCAGGCAGGCAGCAAAAGTACTGAGCCAAATCCCTGGCCCTTTATTACTTGTGTCTTATCTCTACACCCATAATGTCTAGTAGATGGAAGTGCGTAAAATAAGCTCATTAAATAAATATAATTTGTTTGAACTTGGAGTATTCACTGAGTTATACTGTACCACTCCTCAGGAAAGAGCAGCAATCAGTAAAATAAATAAAACTTCTGGAGAAAGCACTGTCTGTTCTTTGTGAAAATTGATGGACATTAGCCAGTATCTAAACTTGAATCTTAACATGGGCAAATACTTGGACCTATAATTAAAGAGAGAACTGAGGAAATTACTTCTTCTTGAAGGTCATAAAACTGAGCATGTTTAAAAATTTGTTCTAGGAAAAATAAAGATGCTACAACACGAG